TTCTGTCACTTCCGTATGCTCTACTTTTCATTCTCCTAGTAGCACCATATTTAGGGACAGTATAAGAGTCAGCAAAGACATAAGTAAAATGAGGACCAAAACAGTATGGTGCCCTGTCCAACCAAGGGAGAAGAGACTTACAAGAAGGAAGGCTAATCAACATTGCCAAATTTGGAAAGTGAGGGAGAAAACTAGCTGGGAGGCTGACCAATGTCTTCCATTACCAAATCTAAAGGACTTTACTGTCAGCAATGGAAATTTGAAGAAGTTAATAAAATCTAATTTCATTCTAATGAAATTGCACCAATTTTCAGAGTACGGACGATAAAAACCAGGTCTCTTACAGTTCCACTTGGGAAGTCAGATTGGCTTCTTGCCTCCACTCCTCTTTGTGAGGAGATGATGAAGAATCAACAGACAAACCCAGCTCTTAGATAAAATAGCATGAGCAATATTGTCTTACACTACTTTTTTGCTTTATTAACATACATTATTACTATTCCCCCATTTATAATTTTAAAAATCTAGGCTCAGAACAGGTTAAAGGTACTTTTCAAATCAAACACCCTTCATGCAATACTTTTGCAAAGATTTCTGCTGAAAACACTGTTGAGTTTTTATCTGTCTTATTGTTCCAGTCCTGCACTCTCTACAGGGTCAAACCATCAACCTTACTCCCTAGATCCCCCAAGTGTTCAGTAGTCCACTCACCTTTAATAGCAGAGGAAGAAGAAGGCTCTGATGGAGTCTTGATCTCTATAGTCCTAGATCTTTCCAAGATTAGGGTCTATCATAATATCCCAAAGTTGACTAGCAATTGCTTCACCAAAAAGTCCCTGAATTCCAGACATGTAGCTGGCTGGTCAGGGATTGTTGAATGAAGATGGATGAGCAGAAATTCTCCCCTGGCCCTGTGAATGATTAACAGCAGAAATAGAGCAGCAATATTTACCTAAACTCCCTCCTCTTTACTAGCCCTCATTCTCGATACCGTGTTGCAATCATTTATTTTCTCCTTTGCCAACCATTTCCCCTAAGTGAAGAAGGTAATTTGAATATGATGCCAGAATTCCTTCTCTCTCTTTTCATAAACACAAGGTTATGCAAGATGCAATCCAGCTATCTGGAAACCTTGGATACAGCAGGGTTCAGACAAGCTTCATCAAAATGATCTAGTTTCCATGACATGAAATCAAGAGGCTCTCTGGGGACTGAGGGTCTTGCCTTGCACTGTCCTCCATCCTATCCCAAGGCAAAGTGAAAGGTGGAGAATTTCTCAAACATTCATTGAGTTCTTGCTATGTGCTAAATGCCTGGAACATACTGGAACATACTTGGAGCTCAACAAATGTCAACTACCACCCCCACCACCATTACTATGATATATTGGACACCTAAAGACCAGAAGCTGGTCTGTCACTGATGGCTATTCAGAAGAATGCAATCAGGGGCTAGCTATGTTTACTATCACTTAGATCTAGGAAGCTACCCCAAGCTCTGACTTTGTCCAGTTACTCTATTCACCCTAAAGCTTCAGAGTTGTGTCCACAAAGGACAGCTTTTGTAAGTAGTTTTTCTAAGAGTGCAAAATTTTCCATAAAAAATACTGAAAGTGCCACAAAGACTTCTGAAAAGGAGTAGTTAACCACAGAGGTTGAGTTCATCAAGGAGGTGTTGATGGAAGACATGAGATTTAGAACAGACTTGGTGAGGTAGAAGGTATTAGAGGAAGATGAGAAGGATATTAGAGGGAAAGAAGACCCTGCTCTATCACAGAGGTGAGAGATGACAAGCACGAGTGTAGAGGGAGAATATGGTCTGTGCAACAGGAGGGTGAAATTGGAGAAAATGGCATCTTTTAAGTTGGGTCTCCAAAATACCATTGTCCAACACATCCTGCTTTCCACTGTAATGGCTGCAAATTTTTCTATCCAGGTCACCAAATTGTCGTGTTCTCAGCAGATCATCTTGCTTCCCACTTTACTAAAATCATTCTACATTAGCCCCATCCATGTCCAATTTTCTCTCCTAGTCACTCCTGATTCAGAGAATGACTTCTTCTTTTCTTCTCATTTTTACTGTGTCTCTCATCCTACTCCCGCCATCTTGCCCAAACCTCCAATTCCATTTTCCTTCTTTAGTGTGATGCTGCACTTCTCAGAAGTGGGACCTGTACCTTCTGCCTACTCTTTCTCATCAATCACTCCCCATTTTGCCTTCCCATCTGACTTCCACCCACCCTCAGACCCACACACTTCTCTGGGGCATGTCCTTATCTCCAAATCCAAAATTTCTTTATTTTATTTCTTATAATTTCTCTGTAGCTCTGACAGTGGTGACAGTTTCCTTTCTAAACCTTTCTTCTCTTTTGACCTCTACTACCCCAAATTTTCCTGATTCTCTTATCTTACTAATATCCTTTTCTCAGTTATTGTTATTTCCTTTTCCTCCTCTTCATTTCTAAGTGTGGAAACATTCCATGCCCCTTTAATTTTTTTTTCTTTCCACCATTTGAATAAATTTACCTACTCTCACAACTCTATTTCCAATGAGAGAATTATCCCATCCTACACCTTTATCTTTGATTCCTCTGCTAAACTCCATACTTTTATTGTTTTTTTTGTTGTTGCCCATTGAACATATTCCAATATACCTCACACTCAGCACATCCAAAATATCTTGTTTACTGTCCATCAGTTTCACCTTGTGATCCCAACTTTAATCTAGATTCTTGCACAGAATTTCAAGTTCAACTTTGAACTCCTTTTTTTTCCCTTAATGCTCCAACGTTCCATCAATTAACAAGCTGAATGATATGAGTTTCAAAATGCTTCTCGTTTCTGCTACTTCCTTTTCACTTCTGCTACTGTCAAACCAGTTCAGGTTATCATTGTCTCTTTGTGGATATCTTAGTCTGCTTTCTGTTGCTATAACAGAATGCCTTAGAAAGGGTACTTTATTAAGAAGAGATATTTATGTCTTACAGTTTGGGAGGCACCTGACAAGGGCCTTCTTGTTACATCATCTCATGGAGGAAGGTGGAAGGCAAGAGAGCACAGGGATAGAGGAAAAGGAAAAGGGGAAGAACTCATTCTTCTATCAGGAAACCACCCCTGCAATAAGTAATTCAATAATATCAATCCATTCATTAGGGCTCTGCTTTCATAACCTAATCACCTCTTAGAGATTCCACCTCTCATCACTGCCACACTGGGGGTTGATTAAGTTTCTAACATATGAACTTTGGGGCATACTCAAACCATAACTGGTGACCATTGCAGTAGCACATTTTTTGGTTTCTCAGTCTCAATTTTTTTTTCTGCTTCAATCAATACTATATACAATTGTGAGAAAAATCTTCTTCTATGCTCTGTCCTTATTATTTCCTTACTTGAAAGTCTTCTATGTCTACTCATTGCCTAAAAAAAATAAATTCTTTAATGTGCCATTCAAAACCTTCTGAACTATCTTTAACTGATCTTTCCAGTCTTTTCTCTTACCACTTCCCATGCTTAATTCAGGCCAACTTAGACTGCGTAGTGTTTCCTAATCATCTTTCCTGCCTCTGTACAGTGCTTTTAATATATAATATATTATAAAAAATTCATTTTAAAACATTAAAGTACTTTAAGAGAATAAATGCCTATAATTTCAACATTTTAAGACAATAGTTTTCATCTATGTATATTATAGTCCAGTCCTTTGCCACAAGAATGGAGGTCTTACATAAATATAATCATGTTATTTATTATTATTATTCTATTTTTACTTGAGATTACATTTTCAAGATTTTCTACTACTTTATAATTATAACTGTAAAATGATACATAACATTGGATCTATTATACATTGTGAAATATTTTCCTAAAATTGGACAAATACTTACAAGGTCTTGCTAGTATAGTTATTAGAGACAATAATATAATAAATACCTTCGAATGAAAATCATTTGCTACAGTTAGATTAATCCTAACGGTGTACTTACTTGATTTAAAAACTTATGGCTCTCTTGCTCCATTTTAAAAAACTTATTTCCACTCAAAACATCCTCCTCCTTACTTTTTGTCTCTCTTACTTTTAAAGGCCGAAATAACTATAATATATTCCTTAACAATTTTCTTCCCAGACAGAAATGATCTTTTTCTGTACTCTCACAGCACAGTGATCTCTGAAAAGTATTTACTTCATTTTTACTAGCCTGAAATATTGTCTTAAATCCACTGGTCTTGTGTCTACTAAAATACTCTAAGATACTTAAGAGTCCTTATTCTCCTTTGTAACTTCACCTGGAGATTTTCCATTATTTCAAGCTCTCTCAAGTATTTTGGCTTTAATTTATCCAGATTTCTTGTGTGCTACAGTGGGGGTCAGGCTGAGGGATGGGAGAAGGCTATAGTGTCAGCTCAATATGACATTGTGATGGAAAGCCTCAGGATTCTTATTTCTTCTATCCTCTAAAAAAGAAGAAAATATATTCACTTGTGTTGCATTGTCTCAAACCTCCTGGTAATGCAAGACTGGGTTCCATCCAAAAGGCAGTAAGCAATATTATTGAAGAAGATCAAGAAATCTGGCTTCATAAAACTGATGTAGCATAGAGCTGGGGTCCTAACTCTACATCTGTCTGAATGGGTCATTTTAAGGATATAACTGTTCTGACCCTATGTTTTCAGAATAAGAGGTTAATTTTTGCCTCATAAATTTTGGGTTATTTGAGGTTAATTTTTGGCTCATAATTCATGTCTCATATGAAGCCCAGTCTTAGTTGAGATCCCAGCTTCCTCTTTCTCCTTGCAGACAGGAAATTAAATTCTCCACAGTCCATCAAAGTGGTGCCAAATGTTGTCTTAAACAGATAACAACCACACTTGGTCTTTTCACATTCTAAGTATGACAATTTGCACAGACAAACACACAGAGACACATGCAGTATATTATACATTTGCAGTTGCCTTCTATGAAGTTGCATTTCAACCCAATAAGAGACAAACTGATACCAGTTTCAGAACCAAGAGGAAAATTTATTCATAAGTAAATTTGTATTACCAGTCTACTCAGCTATTGCATTACAACAATAGTTTTGCCTCCAACTCAGCTTTTTTCATCTCCAGAGAAGATTTTAATTCTTCTATTGTTAAACCACTTTCCTTCAATCTTTTCATAAATTTCTCTATGGCACTGCAAGGGTTCTTATTCTCCTGAAAGGCAAGGTGAAAAAACAAATTATTTTGAAGTTTTAATTGATAGAGTGAGATCCAGCTCTACACCCTGAAGTCAGGAAGCAACAAGAAGGTCCCTGAATGGGGATAGGAGTCAAAACCATGGAGCTCAGGTGGGATCTGGGCCTTCAACATGATGAATAATTTACACTTTCTGTCCTAATAAAAATATTTTAATATTTCCACAGTAATAAATATGGTCTAACAGAAGAATCTCAAGGAAAACAAATTGTTCAGCGTTTGTTGCAGTCTAGAAGAAGTTTAGAGCCTCTTCAGAGTAGTACTTACAAATCTCAGGCATTAAGTTTAAGAACCTTGTTCTATAAAGCACATGAGACAATAATGCCTACCATTATTATGAGGTATTTATGAGGGCTTTATGAGGTATTTGTGATGAAGGTGGTAAATGGAAATGTCCTTATATTGAAATGTGAATCAGTGGTTTATGAGGCCCCTTCTATAGTCAGGCCAAGGCCCACCCATTCAAAAACATTATACCAAATTGAAAAGATATTAACTGAACATGAACCAGAAACAATGGCCAAGCCCCAGAGACACAACTGTGAATAAGACAAACAACGGCCCCCACTTACCAATGCCTTCTCAAACCCAGTCTGTAAACATGGTTTGTGGATCCTCTCATAGGTAAGTACACTTCCCGGGTCCCCATCAATGCCCAGCTGCTTCTGTGGGCCCTCTGGGTGGTTCCTGAACCGAAGTTAGAACATTTAGCCCTTTCACCTTCAAAATAGAGTAACTGAGGCTACCTGGGTAGTTGTATTTCAGGCTGTGATAGAATCCACCTCCCTGCCCCATTACGGCCCCAAGCCTTAATGCATGCTTATCTCATTATTACAAAACAGTTTATAAAGTAAAACCATTCTCCTGGGGGTGGTGGTGGTGGAAGCAGAGTGGGAGGATCCATGGGATGAGTTGACACCCATAAAACAGAGAGGTGAGAAATTCTGAATTAGTGTATTCCTGCACAGAGTTTTTGGGTAAGGAGAGTGAGGGAAGAAGTAGCTAATCATTCTATAAACTAATAAGGCATCTGCCATGTAAGCTCTGGAAAGCAGTAGAAAGTTAGAGATACTCCTCAAAAAAATCTTAGTGAATGGGCTAATGAGTAGCGGTAGCTTTTAATCAGAAAAATATAAAAGTAGACTTCAAAGTCCAAGGAAGTCCAATGGAACTGAATTGCCAGTGAAGCCACGTGACTCATTAAGAATAAAACAAGGAAAAGAAAAGGCTAGGCAACCCATCAGGTGGGAGTCTGGCAGTGTAAACTGAGGCTAGACTGCAATTAGGAATGCTTCAAGGTCTATCCCCTAAATATTTATATTTTTGAACTTCTGTGGTTTTTTTTTTTAATTTCTTTTTTTGTTCTTTGATTCCTTAGAAAAACATACTTTTGCGGGGGGTGGGGGCAGTGTGGGGATTGAACTCAGGGTACTCAACTACTGAGCCACATCCCCAGCCCAATTTTGTATTTTATTTGGAGACAGGGTCTCACTGAGTTGCTTAGTGCCTCACTGTTGCTGAGGCTGACTTTGAACTCACGATCCGAATAGCTCAGGCTCTTGAGCTGCTGGGATTATAGGCATACACCATGGCTCTCTGCCCAAAACATTTAAAAAACTGAGATGGAAAAAATGGTACTTTCAAGAGGATACATAAGATATTCTAACAGGATCAGTTTGCTTTCCAGGGGTTGGAGAAGGACCACAATGAGCTAACGCAGTTCTCAAAATCGGAATGAGCCCAGAATCCTAAAGCAGGAGGTTGTCAGGGGTCTAGCTGGACACAGACTGGGTCATTCCTCAAACAATTCTGCCCAAGAGCAAGATTTCATATTCAAAGGCTGTCCGCGCTTACCTCTCCCCACAGGAAGAACTGGTAGACCCTGAGTCGGAATTTCCTCCTTCACAATATCCGTGAGATATATCCCCATGAGGGCCACTGTCTCCTGAGGAAAAGGAGTCCCAGAGGACAGTGGTGAGATTCAGTGATGCTGAGTGCAAACCACCCCGCACAAGCGGCCTAGGCCAGCACCTGCCATCTCCAGAGCAGTACAGAGGGACCTGGGGACTTGCTCTCCATTCACTCCCTTCTCATCAAAGTCAGATTTCTCAGCCAGCCCGTAGCACACCTGTCATCCCCATGTCTCAGAAGGGAGGCTGCGGCAGGACTGTCAGTTCATGGGAAATTTAGGAAGACCCTGTCTCAAATGTTTTAAAAAGGTAGTAGTGGGGAAGTGGGGGAACAAGGGTTGAGTGCCCCTGGGGTCAATGCCTGTGCCACAAAGAAACAAGATCAGATCTGTACATGGGGAAAAGCCCTCCCCAGGTTCATCCCCTGAATTGTGAGGGATTCTGGAGTACTTTCTAACTGGCAGGAGCTCAAGGAAAAGAAATTTAAGTTGTAGAGATGCTATTTGTTAATGCACAAGAAAATAAAAATTAGACCCTAGGTGAGGGCAGAAGTAACTTGAGACAGGAGATGAAGGATGTGAGCTCCATGGGGCTGACACCTGCTGAAGAGGACAGGTCTATAGAACTGGAAATGACACATTAGGAGTGGTGAAATTCGATTCGATTCTGTCTCTTTCAGTGGCAGAAAAGAAACTCCCTGGCATGAAAAAAATCATTTTGGCCCTCTCCATTTCTAATATTTTATTTATTTGTTTGTTTGTTTATCGATCTATCTTTCTGTTGGTACTGGGGATGGAGCCCAGGGGTTCTTTACTACTGAACTACATCCCAGGCCCCTTTTATTTTATTTATTTTTCATTTTGATACAGGGTCTCACTAGGTTGGCTTCAAGCTTGGGATCCTCCTATCTCAGTCTCCCAAGTCACTGATATTACAGACATGGGACATAAGGCTGGGCTCAGCCTCTAATATAACAAGATAATTTCGAATTATCTTAAACTTCTAATATTTTAAGATAATTAGGTTAAATATTATTATGTATAAGGTTATTTATAATGTCTTTTTCAGTTCTGAGATTGCATGAGGCTAAACTTGGTGATCAAAATTAAAGGCTGAACAAAAGGTATATTAAAGGTCTTGAAAATAAACAGCTTGAGTAAAATCAGAAAATTATTTAAAAAGCATGTATAATATAAACCGGTTTTGAAAATCAGGATAGGTCCTTGTTCCCTCATGTTGAAGATTAAACACCCAAGAAATGCCTAGGCAAGAGCAAAAATTAAAATTTACTTAAGAAACAGAACAGAGAGAGAGAGACTCCTCTGGCGAGGAGGGTGTCCAGGGCTGGTACTCAAGGGAGTAGGGGTGTCTTGCCTCTCTTATAGATTTCAGGTTTTCTTTCCTCATGTCCCCTCCTCCCACTCTGCCTACGTGACCACAAGTGGCCAAAAGGGCAGGAAGAGAGTCACCCAAGAGGTGACTGCTTGTGTTGGAAAGTATGATTCTTTCCCTCCCCCAGAGGCTGTTAGCAATAGGGTGATGGGGAGTGCTATCTACCCATTTCCTTTTCTTTGATAATCAGCTACCTGTCCTTTGCCCTGGTCTCAATATAACACAATTTTTGTAAAACAGTCACACACAAACATGCACAGACAAAAAAAAAAAAAAAAAAAAACGGTCTGTAAATAATATATCAAGATTTTCCTAATGCTTATCTCCAACCTCCCCTACGCCATAGGCTTGTAGGTAATGATTTTTTTCCTTCTATTTTCTATATTGTATTACTTGAAGTTTTTAAAAGAATTTGTAAAAACTAAAAGACTGAGTTCAAAGACTGTACAGAGAAAATAAAAAAGGATTCCCATGAGTTGATGGAGGAATTCCAGTTTAGAGAGGGTTCTGGTAACTTTTAAAAAGTTCAGTTTTGAACCGAAGGAGATGATGTTGATCTGAGATCTAAACACAAAATAATGTGCTTTACAGGGACCTAAGGAGCTCCTCCAAGATCTGAGCAATTAAGTAACACAAAAAACGATGCTATATGTGGGAGCCAGGGCAGAAACTTCTAAATTAAAAGAGTAAAAGATTTGGAAGAAATGAGGAAATACTACAAACCCATGTCAAGCTATATTACATACATGATGTGGTACAAAAGCATGTTCTGGGTACTCCCAAGTGCCCGCATAAGATAGCTCATGAAGTATGTGCTTTAAGCTCTTCTCCATTTATTATCTTAGTAGATACAGAAGTCACATACGAAGAGTGTAATATTACATCTCACTGACATAAGTGGCCATTACTCATATTGTGAGTAATATTAGATGAAATTAACTTTTTCTTTTTTGCTAATATGATTAGTAAGATATTTGTATCTAATTTTAATTTCCAGTTCCCTGAGGTTCAAGAGAAAGAGGCAAGGAGGATCCAGGCCAGCCTGGGCAATTCAGAAAAAAATAATCATGGTGGGGTGTGGCTCTGCAGTAGAGTCCCCTGGAGCCCAATCCCTAGTACTACATAAAAGAAAAGAAAGGAAGGAAGGGGGCGGGGGGGGGGGAGGGAGAAAGAACAAGACATGGAATAAATACATCCAACTTAATACCTCTGAGAGGTTTGAATTTTGCTGATACAAAGCGGGACTTTCACCTGTTATATATAATTTTGCAATGAATGACTCATGGTCTTTTCCCTGTCTGTTTTGTGTAGTTTTTTCAAATAAAAACACTAAATCATACTTGATCTTAGAAAGAGCCCTTGTTTGGATGCCATTCATTTCATTGGAATATCACTTGAGATTTGTTTCTGTGAGCTCAGTTTATTTCTTGACTGTTGGCTAGATCTAATCCTATTCCCAGATGCAAAAAAAAAAAAAAAAAAAAGAGGAAATCATTGCAGGGATATGGGAATGACTAGGGTGACAGTGTGCTAATCAGGATGTTTGGGATTCCCGGTGATTTCTCTGGTACTTACTACTCTTGCAGATGGGAAAGGGAGGTGACCAGGTGTGGTTCTCTAAGCACTGGCTCCAACTGCTGCCCTGGAGGATGTAGTGGTCATTGCACTTAAATGTGATTTTGTCTCTTATATTCACAGGCCTGAAGAACTGAATTTCACCATTCACCAGCACAGGGTCAGGACAGTGGCCCACTGAAGAAGAAAACTGACAGTGATCTAAATAGCCTGTCCCAGCAAATTCTTGACCTTCTCAGACACCAGTGAAAAAAAACAGCAAATCATATCAATACAGGTTTTGATAAATAGGGCAGAAATGGTCTTGGCTAAGCATAAGAATGACATGAATCAGCAATTGAATTTGCTAAACACAATGAAGCACATAACTAGAAATCACCAATAGTATATTCATTATCCTGTTAAGCGTTCCTCAAAATTCTTGGGCCTATGTTTTAAGCAAATCTTGCCTTCCCTTTCATCCAGCCAGCACTAGGCTCATTTTTTTGTTTGTTTGTTTTATTTTTTTTCTTCCCATGGTGTGGAAAAACAGGAGAAAGTGCAGAGGGATGTGAATTTCTTCATGTAAATGAAGGATAAAAATATTGGTATAGGTATACAGACAGCATAAATTTTTCCCAGTTCAAAACATATGAGGAGTGAAATATAAAATATGATGTTTTTACTTCAAAATAATAAAGTAAGTATATAAATGAAAAAGGTGTGGCCATGTATTGGTAACTGATGAAGCTGTGAATGAGTATCTATGTTAACTTGACCTTTCTGACTTTGTATATATTTTCCTATATTATTTTTTAAAGCAGTTTTTAAAGCAGTACAATATTAAATACATTACAATGAAAAACAAAGTAGTTTTAGTGTATGAAAAAAAATTTCAAGGGCTGAGGGTGTTGCTCAGTGGTGAAGCATTTACTTAGCATGTGCTATGCCCTGGATTTTATCCTCAGCACCAAGAAGATAAAACAAAATAAAAATGAAGAGAAAACCTTTTTCCTAGCTGTAGGAATAATTGATTCTATTAATGCAACTAAATTAATACCCAGCAAGAGTTGATCTTGTGTCTTCCCAGAGACATTCCACCACTATGCTACTTTAAAAGGGCATACCTAGAAATTGAGATTTTTTTTAAAAAATAAAGTTTTAGCTAGACAACAGGAATGAGAATGTAAAAGAATATAGCCAGATGACAATATGGGCAAAGAAGCAGAGTCAGCCAACTCACAGCGACACTCAGTGGTGGAGGCATTCCATCCCTCAGAGGCATTGCAAAGAAAGGTTTTCTTTCCTACCAGGTGGTAGCCCTTGATACAAACGTAAGTCCCCAGCATCTGTCCTTCCACCTCCTTTACAATAAATATGCTGTTGTTCACTGGGGGAAGTTCTAGACAGCTCTCTGTTGAAAGAAAAAACAAATTGGCATATCACGCACTACGAGGAAGCCCCTCTAGATCCCTGTGTCCGTGTCTTTTTGCAGGATTATTGGTCCTGATAGCTTGTACTCTTCCATATCCACATACATGCCTGCCCCTCCCTTTCTCAAGATTTCCAAAGTTATATTTCCAAAAGGATATCAGGCATTCCACTCAAATTCAGCCATAAGTTATCTACTACACAAACAATTCCCTTCCCAAGTAGAAATTCTGGAGTTTATAACAAATATAACCTCTCAGAATTTTGACATTGGTACTAGTTTTGCTCCCAGAATAGGAGAGGAAAGTCAAGGGTAACCACCCACTTCAGAAAGCAGAGTCATCCTTAAATACACAGTAAGCTCACATGAATATGGAGCATTAGGTGAAGTAACTTGATATTTTTTGATATCATAAATGTAAATTTTATTTTTCAAACAAATATTATTTTGGAAACAAATCTCACAAGTGTAAATTTCGCCAAAACCCTAGACAGAATGCCTTATAACCCTAAATCTGAGATTAAGTGCCTTGTAAGCTGAGTTTAAAGAAAGCATACATACCATCTAAGGCAGAAATCAACCACATGACTGGTACAAGACAGCACACGAGCCGATAAAACATCTGGCGATCAATTACTCGACAAATATGTACATATATATATCCCCTGCCACAGGAAATAAGAGCAGTAAGAAAGTTGGTATGGGTAGGGGCCTTGCAAAAACACAAAGCTGGTTAAAGAGCTGCCAGTTTTAGCAGCCAGTTTCAGAGATGTTCCAGTCCTTTTCAACTGAGGTTTATTCCTCCCCAACAGATGTGGGCCAAATAATCTTGCCATGACCTTGATGTCTCAATATTTGCCAGTGTTTACAGTCCACCTTCTGCAACTCTCTAGCACTGGGGGTGGAGACTGGGTGCCAATCAATGATACATTCCCAGATAGGAGCCAATGTTCTGTGCCACTTCCTCCCCTTCTCCCAAACACCAGATTTTCAAAGGCTGTAAAGCAACACTGAAGACAAAGCTCAAGAAAGCAAACTGACCTTACCTGTCTCTATCCCTCCACGATAGTCCTAATTCCAAATCTGAGAGCTCCTAAATCCTGCATTGACAGCTTTGCCTCCTTTGCCAAGACTATTCCCACTCTGTGGCTCTTCCTGGGGCAGGATATGGCCTGAGATCAGTTAACCAAATGAATGAAGAGAGGTGAGAGGAATGTTTTGGTTTCTTTCTTTAGGAAAGAAAAGCACAATACATTGCTTTGCGATTCTTTAGCATCTTGTTCACAACTGTTGTAACACTAGTTGGTTCTCTGTGCTCTAATTATAAAATTGGGATAAAATTCCTATGAAATTCTACCAAATTTTAGGTTTTAATAAAATAATAAACATAAAGCATCTAAGGACACAGTAACGTCTTGAATGTTATTCTCCATACATTATTATTACTCTGTAATGATCTGTTTATATTCTTCTCTTGAAGGAGTTTAGAATTGCCACTCCCAAATATGCCACTTCAGTATAAAGTTATTTTAAGCTGAAGACGTTTCAGATTCAACATATGCAGGGGAAATTAACCTTTCTTGGAGTTTCCCCTTATCCCACTAAAAGCAGCAACTTCTGGAAAATGAGGTAGACGTAAATTCCTCCTAAATGTAGATCTACTCCCAGAAGAGAGAATGCAAATAAAGTCTATCCCAAATTCTTCTCTAAGGGAGTTTTATGGCCTTGAAGCATACAGACCACTCATACCTACATGGACAAACATTATTACAAAATTTCTTATCTCTTGTTTGTTCTCCTGAAAACCCATTTATCATTACAAAAGGTTATCTGTAATTACTTTTCCTGTAAGTACTTTTCTCTTCCACCACTTTACCTATTAAGATGACATATAAACCCCCAATTCTAACCACTCCTTTGAGCTACTTAGCTCTCCCACACATATTTGAGTTGCATAAATTCTTATTCTTTTCTTTCTGCTAATCAGTCTTTTTTCAGTTTAATTCTCAGTTCACAGCTACTGAGTTTAAGAGGGTAGAGGTTTTTTCCTTCATCTACACTTCAACACTAAACTGTTAACCATTCTAGAAAAGGGTTTGTGCCTCATTTGTATTGTATACCTTTGTACCCCATATTGCAAAGCAGAATTGTCTGCTAAATGAATAAAATCAATGCAGGGCTGGGTGTGGTGGTGCATGCCTATAATCTTAGCTGCTCAGGAGCTGAGGCAAAAGAATCTCAAGTTTGAGGCCTCAGCAATTAAGCAAGATCCTGTCTCAAAAAAAAAATGAAATAAGCAATGTTGGAATAAATATAAAGAATATAGTTATCTAGAAACTCTACTGAGCCATCAAATCAAATGCATACTGATTATCATGTACTGTATTTTGCTTATTTAATTCATCTTATCTTTTCTCAATTATTATGTAAAAGCACTTTGAATGATTTTCAAAGTTAAAAATGACACTTGTACAATATAAAATGAATTCACTAATTCATTAACATGTCATTGCAGATGATGTATTAATGTCATTAAAGATGCTTTAACTGGTTCAGAGAAGAATTTGAGAAATAGAGATTTATATAGTCAAAAGCATTCTATTTCAATAGATGTAAAACTAGTTAATGTCCTATAGAACAATACAATTTTGAATTGACTTTTGTACACTGATGGAAATTAATTGAAACAAAATGGACAAAACTCACTTGCTTTGTTCTGATCATGAATCATTTGCATTGTTCTCAGATAAGAGTAATTCACATTTTCATCCATGCTACAAACTAACTTCTTAGAGGGTTGTAAAAGAATAATAAAAAAATCAAACTTGCATATCCTAAGGAATTGATAATCCCTAGGGGGTCTGCTAAAAAAAAAGTGCCCAGTAACTCACTGAAATTTTATTCTAGAGATCTCTTTTTTGCCTAAGTCCAAGTTTTGAATAGTTTTTAACATACCACATATTCTCCTTCTCGAGGAATACATGTTCTTCAGTGTCTTACATAGAGTTTTATATATACATATGTGTGAGTTTGTACAATAAAAGATTAAAAAGGGAAAGAAAATCTGGCTTAGTCCTACATAAATACGAACATAAAATAGAGCACATACTACAGAAAATAATTGTAAATACCTTTTCATCTTAATGGCTTACTTTAGATGCATGACTCTGAGGACCTTATAGAGTTCATATTGCTTATACTATTGTCTTACTCTAATATTACTTCATGAAATATAATATTCACACTAAATGGGATATATAGAGACTGTAAATATCCTCACAAAGTTCAAGTCTAATTTTACTGTCACATGGGTTAGAAGAAAACTTGGTTTTCAAAGCTTTCTGGAACTTAGAATTAGAGATAAATGGATGCCATCTGAGTACACGTATTTTACCATGTCAAAGGAGAGCAAACTCTTGGTTTCCTACCCTGAGACCCAAGGATGGGTTTCAGGTCATGACCCCTCTAAACTGTAAGCAAAACCCGTAAGTGTCTACCTTTTTCTGGGAACTGTATGTAAAACCTGTAAGTGTCTACCTTTTTACTTGGCTTGTTAAATTCTCAAATGAACTGAAGAGAATGAATGTAGGTCAATGGTGCAGACTATGCTTAGAGAACATAAAGTTTGGGAATGGGCTATTGCCAGACTGCCACAAGAAGAGCCAGTGGAGTTTTGTCACCAACAAAGGCAAGCTAGTAGCCTCAAAGTTGAGCCTCCTTACAGTTGGGTCCCTAGTAAAATCCCTGGAAAGGTTTAACATGGTATAATAAAGCAACATGAGAAAGCAACCAATAGCCATCATACAACGCAGAGCACTCTCTGAAGTCATTTTCTAATCCTGATATCTGTGTTACTGGTGACATATAAAAATAGTAAAAATAGTATGGTATATTTCTTGTGCCTTCACTGTTACAAATCTTACCTTTTACCTTGCTCTGAGATACTGGCTTTGACAAACATTTCAACAGTACCAAGGGATGTCTTTTAATAGGGTGTTCAATGACCTATCTGTAAATGGAAGAGAATGATTGCAGCCTTTGACCAAGGATGGCTTGACGGCTGATTAAATTACAAGTGACTAAAGATCTTTCCAAGGAAATTATACCCTTGAGAGCACACCCATATCAAAGTCCAACACATTTATCAAAGCTTACAACCACTATCTCTCACTTAGTTCCAAACTTGGAAAATTCATAAATAATTTTCATTCTGTCCAAAGAATCTTTGAATTAAGAGAATTTGGAAATGCTTTCTGAGTCTGGCTTATTTCACTTAGTGTGATATTCTCTGGGTCCATCCATTTATCATCAAATGCTATAATTTTATTCTTCTTATGAATTTTTTTTGTCTGATACTACTTATCCCAAGAACAATGCACCAAGTTCTTTTACCATACCAATTTACTTAACTATTATCTAATAATGGTTTTACTCAAGGTTATTCATGAAGGGGAAATAATTCCCAGAGGGAGGGATGAGCTACAGACTTGCTGTTAACTTTTTACTTTTCAATAATAAATTTTAGAAAAAAAGCAGGCACTTTGATCCATGGCCTATCAACCAACAGGCAGTCATGAAATATTTGTTGAATAAATAAATGCCTAGAATACCAACAATGCCTGGCTGTAACAATCCCATTGATATCCCTCTGAAATGCTAGTGGAACTTGATAAAGATAGTAGTCACTGATTAAAAACACTACTTGGAAATATATACACTATAATAATTTGAGAAAATTTTTAAAGAATTTAGTTTCAAATACATTTGAACAATGGTATTAATATTTTATGTATGTATAATATTCCAAATGTTATCTTCTTTTGTGTATGATTTAAAAAATTAATGTATTTTAATTAAAATAACTTTTATTGTGTTTTCTTATTGCACAAAAATACATATTACTCACATATTTTAGCATGATTTTATTTATCCAGGAGATGAACATTTCTCCAGAGAAATGCATCTCTTGGTTTATACTAAAAATCAATGAGGAAAAAAGTGCTCAAAAAAAGTCCACTGTGCTTTTACATAGTTACTATCCTTTTACAGATATCCACATTCTGAAAACTTAAGGAACACTATGGACATTAGACTTAAAAGTTCAAACCATCTAGGCCTCTACCAAAAAGCTGACAACACAAATTATATTACATTCTGATTAAATACATGCAAATGCTGATATAAAAATGCTTTGTATGGATAAATAAATAACTAAATAAAACATTAATAATCAGAAAACAGTATATTTAGATGCAGAAAGAAATCTGCATCAGAAGAACAAATCAATACAGTACAGCATGCTACAAGCAGCCAGATGAAAACCATCTGCTACAGAGCAGAGTAAGGAGCCTTCTGAAGGCAGCTTTGTGCATATAAAATAAGCTCCCAGTTGCCAGATGCTGAGCTGCCTCCAGCCCAGCTCTTCACATAGTCAGTAACAGTCTCCTGCACCATCCACAGTATAAAAGAACCATTTAGGAAAAGCTGAATCTCATTATTTTTCTTGCTACCCAGACTTTTGCCCAGTGAGCATTTGAGTGAAAAAAAAAGTAATAATTAAAGCCCAAACTCTATTCTTAAAATTAAAAAAAAAAAATAGATTTTGTTTGTAAGATATAATGTCCTGTGAGGATTTCACATTCTTTTTCCATGAGAGCAGCAACATATTAAAGTCACATTCACAGAGACATATTTGCACATTTGACAATCACTGATCTGGGTATGGTGATCTGGTTTCTCTGGAAGGTAAGCAAGTGACAAATGCACTGAAGTCTTGGTTCTTCTCTTCTCCAGTGGTGTGACATGGGAGACCAGTTGATCAAGATAGTGGACTGGATCAGAGACAGACATCAATAGACTGCTTTCTTGAAAAGACAGTCACAGCTTTCTTAGAGACCAGGTCACCATGACAGATCCCATCAAAGGATAGGTCTGTCTTTACCTGTTTCAAAGCAAAAAAAAAAAAAAAAAAAAAAATCCCAATAGAGTTAATGCCCAAGAGCTGTTTTCATTCCTTCATGGGGTTATAAATGAAATGGCACTCTCTTTTTCCAGCCCTCATTCCAGTCACCCAGGAGAACTACCTCGGTTCTCTTCAGCTATGAGAGGCACATGCATCAGGTAGAATACAGCTGTATAAAAGAGAACTTAAAGACGAGTAACCTTTGGGGAAGTCTTCTAGTCAGACTCACCCCTGAAGGGCCTAAAATGAGAAAAACTTTTCTAAATGAAAAGGGTGCTATTGACATTGACTTCTATCACTTTAGAAGAGACATTCTAGGTACTGAATTTCTCAGATACCTTCCATTTACCTGGTGATTTTGTCTCACTTCCAATAATATATCAAGAGGTGGCTGTTAGCATATGTATATTGTACTCTAGCCAGCTGGCTTGAGGTGGATGCCAAGACCAGTTCTTATTACACAGAAATGGCTTCCTGGAGCTCATCCCTCTCACTCAGAAACCAAATTTGAAGAAGTACATGTGCACCTTGGGCAAACAGACAGCTAGGGTTGCAGTCACAGGTAGGATGCTAAATGCCTAAACAGAATGATATCCACAAACCTGGACCAAACCCAACAAAGAGTTGATGAAAACTAATTGGTTCCGGCTGTTAAATGTTTTGAGGCACAGTATAACTGATATTCCCATTAGGCATGGGGAAAGAAATGTGGTGACTTTTGCCAGGACTCATTTTGGTAGCCATGAATTTGCAGTCCCCACTTAACCTCCATTTCTAGCCTCAGGGGAGCTGACATCCCAAGTTTTTCAGAAGATCCAGTCCCTTGGAGAGGTCTGGCCTCAGCCTCCACACCATCAGGAGTGCAATGTGAAGGACGTCACAGAGGCAGGTTTATGCTCAGTCGGCACAGTATTCACTTCCTAGGAGTCAAAGAGGAAGAGAAGCGAAGCCATTATACCACAACCAGAAGATGAATGAAGAAAAACAGAACAGAATTCAGCCCCAGCCCTTCCATTGTGTCCCCTACCCTTCAGCCCCCATCCCCTCCACACACATACATGCAAGGACACACTGGTGTGCTTGCACACACACCTGCACTCTGAGGAGTCAGACAAACTCTAATGGCATAGGCAAGGGCTTCTTTCCCTGAGAAGCTGACCTTGTAACCATGTTGGGCCAGGTGCTCCTTGCAGACCTGGACCATAAGCTACATACCTAAGATATGAAGCAGAAGTGGTCAGGATTCCTGTGGCAAAAAAAGAGAATATGCAGCCTACTTCAGCCAAAGACCATGCCAAAAAAGTGACATTGCAGTCAGAGGCTACTTGGCTTCTGAGGAGGTTCCCTACCATTGTAGTTACTCCAGGCCATTCTGAAGTCAGTGATCAGAGCAGATCAACTTTTTCCCCTAAGTTTGGATTCAATGTTTTACCTTGTGAGGAGTTCTTCCCCTTAGAACAATGTTTCTCAAATGTTAAATGTGCCTGGTGATCCTGTAAAAATGAAGGTCTGATTTGGGGGCCTGAGACTCTGCATTTCTAAAGAGCTTGTGGCCCTTCTTAGAGTAATAAGGAATAAGGCATGAGAATAGCAAAAACAATTTCAGCTCTAGTTCCTGTTTCAGAAGTTGTTAAATAACCATTTTTTACCATTGGCTGTTAATCTCTTTAAAAATAGGTGGGGTATATTTTAAAAGCAACAGACACTAAATTGTAAAAGATCTCAAGTTTTTTTTTTTTTTAAATAGGTAATATGAGCTACATGTTGTTAGTAGGAGTCACAGCACCATAGGGTCGAGAGTAATTTTCTCTTAATTCTTGCATAGGTACAACAGGTGTACATGACTACCCAAGTTTATGCGCTTCCCATGTCTTTCCCATCCTCCCTAAAAGGTAGTGAAAGAGAGTCTTGTCTATAGTCGCACTGAGAACCCACATTGGTCTGCCCAATTCTTCTCAGCATGCAATGAAGTTTTAGAGGGTGTGGGTGGGGACATAGCCCAAAACACAAAACAAAATTCCAGAAGCCTTTTGATAGGTTCAAGTTACTCAACAATTTTATTTACCCATTCCACACACACACACACACACACACACACACACACACACAAGCACATTTCCAATACAGTTATATACACCTTTAGTGCATCTAAGTAAAAACTCATGTCATCATGTCACCAGATTAAATCAGAATGGTGCTAGAGATTAATGCTCCCATGTTCAACAGAAGCTGTGCCTGGGAAGTCCACGGTAGAACTCTGTTCCTGGGTTTCCCAGCCCAGCCCATTTCCATTCAAACCCATGGGGCTCAGCCCCACTCCTAGTCCCCTCCAAAGAGGGTGGCATTCAGTTCTTTGCTTTTGCAAAGAAAACCATCACTGTATTACAATGAGTTGATTTTGTTACTTCAACAACAATAAAAATGTATACAAGCAATTCAGATACAAAAATAGTAAGTAAATGTTGGCCACAGATACCCAGTGAAAGACTTATGGGAAAGAATACTTTTGCCCATTTAAAATCAGTTTCTGAATGCAAATTTCCTTTGCATTTATTATATTAGGAATAAAAGCCAAATGCATGGCAGATTAAAAACAATAACACTCTTCAATAGAATGCTACATTCCTTAATAGGATAAGCTGAGGACAGAAGATTCAGGAATGGATAGTGAAAGAAAAGTCTTACTCTGAAGCAGGGGACTGGACAAGATGACTTCAAGTAGAAATCACAACTTCAGATTCTGACTAGGCATTCCCTTATCTGAGTTCACAAAACACCATACAACCATCATCTTTATAAACACTGTGAGAATTTGACCACTATTACATAAGAAATGTCTTTGAAAAATTATAGCACACAGAACTTCCCCATAAAGAAAATGTACAGTGTTTAGTTCCTTTCTTTGCAGGACATGTGCCACAGATAGACAATTATAATAACTTACCATACTGAAAAACAGTACAATGAGAAAACCGAGAAGACTGTCAGCCTGCAGACCCTATCAGAGCCCAAAGTCAGTCGGCACAGACCCCTTTAGAAATAGTCTTAGGGACACCAAGAGTCTAAACAAAATTCCTGGACACACTTCTGATGTCTATGTCATCTTTAGGGAAAGGCAAGGATCTACCATGACAATGTGACTATATATTTTAAAAATAAAACATTTTAAAACACACACAAAAAGTCAAAATACATATAAGAAAAGCTGGGTACGTCTATCAAACCTCTTGACAACAGATACAGTGGTTTCTGGGCTTGGCTAGGATAGTGGAATGTGCATGAGATTTCATCACCCAGGACGTGTTTCCCTTTGTCCACTGGCCACCCCAAGCACCAATGGGAACTCTAGAATTCAGATCTCCTGCTCCCAGAAAACCCCAAAGATGGATTTATTTGCAAACAGGTATATATCATGTTTCTTCAAATACCAGTGCATCCGAAGATCAAATGTGGATTGTAAGGTCTATCAGATCTTCACAAGAAACACTCAACCATTCCATCCAGGAGTACAAATACATCTTATCCTCTACTCCAATTTTTTGGGAAACAAAAATAAAACCCAGACACAATGACATAGGGCAATTCCCTAGCACACTGCATATAAAAGATTTTTAAAAGATTTAAAATCTTAAGATTAAAAAGACTTTTAAAAGGTTTTCTTATTTGAAAAAGATTTTTTATTCTACTTTCCAATTCGATGTAAAACCAGCCCATTACCAAAACAAAAAGGACACTATTGATAATAAATAAGAACTAAATTCCAATTTGGAAATTAGGAAGTAGGAACAGAAGAGAAGTGGGTTCTCTGAATCTGCAACAAAATCCTTTCAAAAATCTGTTACAGACATCCTCATTCAGCTTGGAACTAACAAAAACAAAATATGGTTTTCATTTCCCGGTTTTATACCAGTAGATCAAATGTCAAAGTCTCACCTATTTCCCCCATGGCAACAATTAAAACCTCAGCAAAGGGTTCCCTGGAGTCCATCCTTTTTTTGTAGAACTTGTGATATAGACATAAGCAGAGTAACAGGTATCTACTACCAATATACATTTCAAGTAACAAGGGGAAGAAGAATAGAAAAAAAAGATGGGAAGTAGAACTTCCCTAAAATCCCGAAGAGCTCTATTCAATTCTATATTCTCTTGACTTCTTTCGTGAACATCTCTGAAGGGATCAGAAATCAAAGGATGTTGAAACTGGTGCTGTTTTCAAATTCTAACTTCCCCTGTCCTATGTGAGGATAAGGTCACCTCCATTACTCATCTGGGAATAGGAAACTAACACAGGGGAAGATTAGAAGTATTATCAGCAGAATGAGTGCCAAAACGAACATCCAGTGACCTGTCTCTAATGACAGTGTTTATAACAGGCTAACACAATGCTAGTCAGTCAGAGAAGGCCCCTGAACCTAAGAGGAGGTGCCATCTAAATCTCTCATCTTTGGATCAAAGTTCTCCCTCTTCTCATTTATTATCTCTAAATTACTGTCACCTCGCAGCAGGAAAATAGATCGAATAACCATTTGGGCTAGAGTTGCCATCATCCCAACCAAATTAGAAAAGGCAACCCTGTAAAAGAGCCACACATACCTCCCAGGCTTTCCTTCTCACACTGGGGAGACGGAGCCTTTCTATCCCCTAACATTTTTGGTCTCACAGCCATTGGAAAAGGGAACAGTCACAAGCAATCTGTAGTCCACAGCACATCAGCACTTCTAGACTCAGTGTGTGGCTCTTTTGTGAATGTTCATTTGCTGTAAATTACATGCCCTGTCTCTTAAAGTAACCTCCTTGAGGTCAAGGACCTTTCTTTTTCTATTTCTGTTCTTTCTTCCCCCATCCAGCTCCAAGCCCCACAAAGACACTACTACAGACCTTGTGCAACAGCTTGACAGGAAGAGCAGGTAATTTTATGTCTTAGACACAATTTTGAGAAGACGCTAGGCCAGCAGCCTTTGGAAAGCAGCTGTGGTATTCTACTTGGAATGTAAAAGTGAAGGGCTCAAGGTGGAGACAACCTTCCTCATCTTACAGACTGTACCTCAGGACCTCTCTCCAGGGTGCTTGGAAACCCAGCTTTTATTCAAGGTCATTTAGAGGTTTGTTCCACATCACTGCACAACGTGAAGGGTGAAAGGTGAAACTAGAACCCACAGTAAGTCTCTAAAGCACAGCAGCCTGACTGAGAGGCCTGCTTCACTTACTTCGGTGATCGGCTCCAATACTGAACTCCAAAGAACTGACTTTTAGAATTAAGAGGAATTCAGAATGCCAAGGTTGATCCTTTGTCCAAGAAACTACTATCTAGTATGTTTCCACTTACTTCATAAGGTGGAACACCCTGGGTATGAATCAGAATCATCAGGGAAGCTATTTAAACACACATGTGTCCAGACTTCAACTGCAGTTTCTGAGTCAGCATTCAGCCTGACTCAGATGGACCCAGGCCTGTGTATGTCTCCAAAGCTATAAAGGAGACCCCAAGGAAGGTTCCTGGGTGAGAACCATGATGAAAGGTTTTCTATTACAAAACGAAAACCCTTGGGAAATAGTTAACTTGTTCCCACCGCTAACTCTAAAATGTAAATGGATAGGCAGGGGATCACCTATTTTAAAAATCCCACGAGAACTCTAGATTTGTCTCTCAGAAAAATGTACATATATACATTCATCTATTTTGTATACAAAATTGAGATAGAAGGAAAACAATTATATGCTATCAAGGGGCTTCTTTAAACAATTCCTTTCAAACCCTACAAAGAAAATGAGATGACAAAAATGAATAGATAAATTAGAATGGTCAAGAAAGAGCTAGACTGCATGAAATTCTCAAAATGTCAAGGTAATTTCTCCTTATGAACAAAAGAATGCCCCAAGAAGAGAGATTAAGTTCATCATCAAGCTTTTCCACACTTGGAAAAAAAAATTTCTCCTGCTAAAATAATAATAATAATAATAACTTTAGGGGTATGCTGGAAATCACTGGAAAATAATAAGCAGCTTTGGTGAACTGGAGTGAGCTCTTCTCTGCCTTTTGTTTTGAGTGATTCAGACATCAGTGGTGACTCCAGAATCTAACTCCATCCTTCTAAAAAGCCCCAGAGGTCACTGGCTGTGGCAGGAAAGTTGCTGTGATTGGCAAAGAACCTGAAAGCCACAGGAAAAAAGATCTGGCTGAACTGAGAGGCCCACAAGGATTAGAGACCACCCTGTTCTCCTGAACCCCACTCCACAGCCAGCAAAGGACTACCCCTGGCTCTTCTAGGTAAAAATACAAACCAAGATGTGTCCCACATCCCCAGGGCCAGGTTCCCCCAGGGCATCAAAAACATAGGATTGTTTCTCGTGAAAAGAGATAAGAACTCTCACCCTATGTCCACTTGCAAGCTCCAGAGCATTCTGTGGATGTTCTGTAACCTGGGCTGGCCCTTTCAGGACCTGGCTAGAGAGGAAGGAGAAGGGAAAGGAGAGACTCCTCCAGTCCAGATCCACTTAGACCCACTAGAAAACACCACTGGGGCCTGGACTTCTCCCACACCAACTGCCCCTTCCCTCTTTGACAGACACTACAATGTCATGCATTACACTAGACAATCCAGAGGGGAGATGAAAATGAGAGATAGTTAAGTAAGGACTGTGAGTTAAATACACATTAAAGAGACAAGGTGAAGGAAAACTGGGCCTTCCTGGTTCCCTTCACTCACCACCATCCCCACTTCACCAATGCTAGGATATGAGTGAGGTTAGACACCAGAGAACAAAGAACCAAGTTATGAGGCATGCTTAGCCCCCAGGGAGAATGTGTCCTTTTTCTCCTTCTCCAGACCATCCCATCCTAAAAGACCCAACTTGCCATCCTGCCCCTGGATGAGGAGCTATTTCCAACTGGAGAACGACTAGAGTTGGCCTGTACATGTGTGACCTCATATTCTGGGTTAAGAATAATGGTGAGGTGTTGAGGGAAGGGGTGGCGGTGGAAGTTAAATGACTCCTTGGAGATTAGTGACAAGGGCAGGAGGCCAGGGCTAAAGGGAAACACACGGTTACACCACCGGAATGCTGACTTGGGTCTTCGGCTGGTCGGCCCCTTCTTGCATGTCCAAGGCACGGAGAGGGCTGAGGGGCTTGAGGGGCCGGCTCCCAACACTGTAATTTCTCGGACGCCTTATTGTATTCGAACTGGACAGAGGCGTAAAGCTGTTCCTTCTCATCCTTACAGGGGTTTGGTTCTTGGGGAGGTTGTTCTGATTGGAAATGGAGGGACACCACACAAATGAAAGCCACGCCAGAAGCTCACTCACAAAGGTTAAATAACGCTCGAAACCACAGCAGCTTCCTTCCTCCTGTTCCTCTGGCCTCACACAGGACGTGGCCTGGTCTCCTGGCCCCAGGGGAATCAAAGGGTCACAGCGGAGGACAGCTCCCTGATCATCAGATCCCAGAACCAGAAAGGGGTCCACCAAAAAAAGGGGTTTACTTAAGGCCACACAAATCACAGGGGCATAGCAGGAACCCACCTCAACCTGCTGACCCCACCTTCCAGCTCCTCTGAACCCTGCTCTTTAAAGGGAGCCTTCCTGGGGCAGGGAGTCTGGATTTCACTTCAGCCAAGCACTTCCCATATTTAACTGAATTTCTAGGAGCCAACTTTCAAGGTTAAGATTCATGAAAGAGGTACCAATTTAAAAATTCATAGTTCCCATATGGTTGCCTTTTAGAAGCAGACTATGGAGGCCATGAATTCTGGATTAGCTTTTCTTTTGTACATAAAAGAAACCCCAATCTCTTTATGTCAAAGGTTCAAGGACTCAGGGAGGTGGGAACCTGGCAGGTATGTCCACGGGAAAATACTTACAGCCGGTTTTTCACGGTGAGTGTTCACAGCCTCCACTCCGAGCGTAATCGTTTCCACTTTGCACCCTGAGAAACAAGGGAAAGAAAGGCGCTCAGGAGAAAGCTCAAAGGAGAATTCCTCAGTTTCCACACAGGAAAACAAACTCTCCAACACACACACTTATACATACATCCCCTTAAAAATGCAAAATGTTAATGCTATGTCCCTGACATATGGACGTGATGCATTCAAATTTCTGGACAATCTTCAGAGAAAACCCAAACATCTGACCTTCTTCAATCCCCACCTCTTGCCAGTCCCTGAGCTCATAGTTACCATAGGCCACAGGAGTGAGTTTGAGGATGATATGGAGAGGACACCTCAAGTATGGTAGCTCATCTGAAAGCAGAAAGATTGGATGAGGGAAGTGTCTTACATCATGGAGTAATTGTGACTTTTTTCTGAACTCATTAGTCTTCAACCCTGACCACCACCTAGAGTAGTACAGCTCCTTCCCTAAGCCCCACACAGTGATCAGGACTAAGAAGCCACCCAGTTCTTCTGAGTGGTAAAGAAGGAAATAAGGCCATTTCAGCTTCTTCCATGCAGGCAAAACAGGAGTAAGTGCCATGCCCAAAGCCCCATGGGAAGGAAGACTATGGTCCATTTGGATACCCAAAGGCCAATCTGCAGACTTCTGGTGACTCAAAGGGATTGACAAGGGAAGGATCAGAAAAGGAAACAGCACTTCCTTACTATTCTTACCTGGAAAGAGCTGCCCACCCCCAACCCAAAGGATGAAGATACTTCTAAGATACCACCTTCCTAGTAGCCAGAGTGACAAGCTGGGACTATTCAGTCACTTTCCTGATGCTGCCAGGAGTGTTAGCAGGACACTGGCCCCTTAGCAGTTAGAATCAAGCAGCACCAGCAGCAGCCACCTTCCACCAGGGCTTTTGTAATAGTGGAGTGAATTCAGCCACAGTTGACCCAGTGGCTGCTGGGAGCCCCACACCACTGCCTGAAGAATGTACTCTAGTTTGAGTGGAAGAGGGGGAGGCCCAGTTGCCAGGAATCCTGGTGCCACTATGAGCCAGGCTCTCTCCCCATAGATGTGTCCCCAGCCTTTCCCTCAAATAGCACCTGCGCCCTTATCCAAGAAGTAGGCCAGGAGGCATCGCATGACAGCCTGGTGGGAGATGACAAGGACATTGCCCTGACGTTCCAGCTCCATGATGACAGGCTCCAGCCGCTGTACCAGGTCCTGGTATGACTGTGGGGGCAAGTGGAGCAGGCTGGTAAGAGGCCAGGTGCAAGCTGGCAGCCAGGCCAGCGGCTGAATCCCAGAGTCAAGAGGCCACTTCTTGCCCAGGCTGGCTCTCCTCCTGGAGGCTCAGTGACTCCATGTTGCTTACTAAATGCCACTGCCCACCTCCACCCCTGCCCGAATCTTAAGAATACTTCTTGGATCTTTAAATAGCAATATTGAGACAAAGAAAATCACAGGTTACGAAAAGTTTGAATTCAACTTGCATGTGTGTGTTTTGTTGTTGTAGTTCCCATGACTAATAGGCAGAGTGTAAGGCAATGAGAGTCTTCTAGAAGTTTCCTGGACCTCTGCCATTCTGGTTTATTTATTTTCGCCTTGAACGTTCTAGAGTATGAAGCCACTTAGAAAAAGAAACAGTCTAATACACTAAAGATGACAGAGAAGTAATTCATGCCCCATATATTTACTTGGTGACTAGACCCACTTGGGTAGTGGTGAGATTGAGAGAGCAGAATGGAAAAAAAAAAGGAGTAAAAAAGATCAGATTGATTCCATAGTATTCTCGACTCAGGGGACATCTTTGACTCTTTTCTCTAGAGATCTTAACAAATTAATGAGGCATTGGACTGCCTGAGCTGAATTAAACACAGGATGGCTCAAAGGTTAGAAGGTAAATGATGGCTAGGCTACCTTTGTACATTCCCTACGATCACATCAATCCATTCTCCAAATTAAAGCTATCCCCCCACCAGCAAAGGGCTGGGTCGTTACTCCACATGAGAAGTCTCACCTCCCCGCCAGGATAGCGATATAGATACTTGTCTTGATCTCGAAGAGCAAACTCCTCTGGGTACTGCTTCTCGATCTCTTCGTATGTCATCTCCTCACACACGCCCTGCAAGAAGCCACACTGGCTGAGGAGGTGGACTGGCCCACATTGTCCTATCCCACAGAAAGAAGACGCCACTGAAGAACACCGATTGCTTACTATGTGTCAGGCCCTATGCTGGGTCCTTTCATGGACCGCAGCTGACTGTAACCAGGGTGTCACGGGCACCATGGATGGGAGCCACAGCAGAGAGAAAGCTGTCACTTTCTCCTACTTCTGTGGGGAATGTAAAGGTCAAGAAGCGTCAACAGATTAAAAGGAATAGGAAGCAGGGAAAGAGGGACACTGATGAGATTGAAGAACTTGAAGGAGGAATAAATTAGTAGAGAGGAGGGAAGGAAAAATTAATGTTTACTTCTGTGTTCAGGGTTAGAAAAAGCCAAGAAAAATCTGGGGAAGGACTTTCCCAGAATAGCTGACCAAATGATCAAAGTAGAAATTAAAAATAAAAACTGGGTTATTAGCTACTTCTTTTTCCCAGGAGGAAATCACACAAGAGAACAAAACAAGTCCTATTAGCCCCCGTCTCCCCAGGTACCAGAATGGTTGGGTCAAACATTGGTTTGGGTCCCATCGTTGGCACTGATCTTTAAGTAGGCAGGAAGCACTGAGGGGTGTTCCACATTTCCTCCCCCAATCCCCCCCAAATGGCTACAGATTCAGCTTCCTCAAAGTTTTTACTTGGTGGTTCTAGTTTCTAGACAAAACTGCCCAAATCATGACTCCTGAGAATTTCCACCTCAATGAGAGACTCCACTCACAGCATCAATCTCATTCAGAATCTTCCACTGCTCATAGGTCACTCCAAGAGACTCAGCAGTCTGGATAGTCCTCTTCAACTGGCTTGTCCACACTTTAAGGTCTTTTATTTCCTGCTCCTCTAGAAACTTCTTTAGAGCCTGGGAAAACTGGGGTTTAAAAATAAAAATAAAAAAAAGAAAACATACACATACTCAATATACTCACCCACATACACACACACATTCATACAAAGCACACACGCACTGCTAACTCAGCCTATAAAGGGGCAATTTGTTGAACCACGATCAAAATATAAACCCAAGAGGAAATGAACCTGAACTGGAGCACCCTGTACTGTGCTAAGTATACAAGTCATGCCCAATAGTTATTCAATGGCTGAATGATCACAGTGGAGATAGTTCCAAATTAACCATACTTTAACATGAAGCTGGAGCCATGAGCAAGAAAACATCTTGAGCATTTGCCTGACCATCTGAAACCACAGCCTAAGCCCAAATGGGATTTAATACAGGGATAAAATAGATGACCTCCACCATGCCCTTCTAATTCTAAGCCTAGGAAATCTAGCTAGCTAGCTAATGACTCACCTGCTTTCCCCGCACAGAGAGGCCAGAGTCACCCCCAATCCTTCCTAAGAGATTGTACTCGCTCTCTCCATGCCGGCAAAGGTAAATGGTGCGAGGCTGGACATGAATATTCATGAGGTAGTAGACAATCTTGCTCTGGATATAGTCCTGGACTTTGTTGACTAAAAAACGCTGGCCCACATTTATCACTTTGATGAAAGAAAGATCCCTGGGACAGGGAAGGAAAACAAAACTTCTAGGGTAAAACAATCTGAGAATAAGTAAGGTTGGGGAGGGGAACTGGGCAGGGTGGTACACACCTGAACTGTGCCATACAATGGGTAAGGCAAACAGAACTCAGGCTTCCCATAAGGCACTAGACCAGGTGACCTAAAGAGTTTGTTAAGCCTCAAAGTTGTTGAGAAGCACAGTCCCCCTCTGGGGTGGTAAGAATATGGTGCCACCAAAAATGAGAGGAGGGGAGGAGAGCAGAATCACAGGCAGAGAAACCTACCCACGCCTTCCATCTACCTAATCAAGCCTCTCTCAGAGCCACTGCTGAAAATGGCCTGCTTTGTGGCCATCATAAGATTTTTCTCAATATAAAAGTAATAGGGCTTATTTTAAAAATTAAGAAAAAAATAGAGTGATGTGGGGCATGGCAGTGCTTATCTATAATCCCAGGGACTCAGGAGGCTGAGGCAAGAGGATCCCATGTTCAAGGTCAGCCTCAGCAACTTAGTGAAGCCCCAAGCAACTAAATAAGACTCTGTCTCAAAATAAAAAAATAGAAAGGACCAAGGATGTAGCTCAGTGGTAGAGTGTCCCCGGGTTCAAACCCTAGTGCCAAAAATGATAGAAATCACCCAATATCCTACGACCAGAGATAAAATCTATAAATATGTACACTTGTTCAAAACATTAAACAGACCACTGCAGCAATTTAATGGTGTCCCAGGCACACTGGTCTCATCATTTGCTTGGCTGCAAGGCTGTATCCTTATTTGAATAGAGCCCGTTAACTGCCCTGAATGCACACTCTTTCACAAGGAAACATTCCCCCAGGTTTCCATGTGTACACTATTTTTCTTCAACATGAACTTGACATTTCGCTATGGCTCCCATACTTTACATTTGGTGAATTCATCTATATTCTTTATCACCTCACCAATAGACATTGCTATAGTAATGATGGTTAGTATCAGTCAGATATTTCTAAATCAGGAACGTTCTGAGGGCTTTACATGCATTTTATATGTGCGAAATATAATGTGTACAATATTATATATGTGTTATATTACATGTGATATTAGCATATGTATTAACATACATATTACATATTTCACATTACATAATTCATATAATAAACATTTAAAATTGATAAAAAATGATGACACATGTCCCAGGATGTCCTGTAACACCCCAGTTCAGAACTACTGATATGGAGTTGTTCTTAAGTGGGTTTGTCTCCCAGGGGACATTTCACAATGTCTTTATACATTTTTGGTTGTCACAGCTCAAAGATGTTACTGGCATCTAGTCAGCAGAGGCCCAGGATGTAGCTAAATATCTTACAATGGATAGGACAGACCCCACAACAAAAAATTATCCCATTCACAATGTCAGTAATGCCGAGATGCAAAAAATTTTGCTCTAGAGAATAGAGAGGAAAAATTAATGATAAAAAAATGTCAGTGTTTAAAATGCAACTCACATAAAAGCCACAATCTACACCTTGTTTCTTAGGAATAATATAACATTTACAAGTCTAGGAGGAAGTTAGGGGGCAGAGGGAGAAAGGCTCTTTTCCTAATGAGACCCCTTCTTCAGGGCCTTCTAACCATGGCCTTAAAACCTCACTTGTCATAGTTGTCTGGGTCAAGGGGTTGGTAGGTGACTTTGTAGCACTCAATCCTCTTCAGGAAGTCCTCCATCACATTCTCCCTATTCCTTTCAGGGTAGTCAGGGCTTGACACCTTTACCTCCTGAAATCAAAGGAATAGTAAGGGTCTTGTCAGAGGTCTGCCCTTAACAGCCCTCCTACAAATAGCCACTGTTAAGAAAAGAAAAAGAGGTCCATAAAAGTAGCCTTTCACTGGAGTGGTGGCACTCTCCATTCATTGAGCATTCCCTCCCTAGTCCTGTGACCCTGGCAACCAAGAAGGGAAAGACAACTGGGGAGTCATGTGCCTGCCCTTGGCTGAAGGACAGAGGCAGTCACGCAGCTGACACTGCTCCTGGGCCCAATCCCTTATGTACTTTCCTGGGAAAACAGAATGGACTCCAATTTTTTCCCACTGCCACTCAGAAGAGGCCCAGTGTGGCCCAGTGCCTGACTTGGGACCCAGTGCCTCTCCCTCAGATGACCCCAGTTCTGACATTGCTGGGAGAGCATGTCAGATGATGACTTGGCACAGCACGACACAACCCATTGGATAAGGACTGTCTTGTGCTGTGACCCCACAGGGCACAGGGCACGAGGAGCTAGGTGTATGGAATGCTGACCAGAATATTAGATAATTTCGGGGCAGATGACATTCCTGTAAGGTAGCCCTAACAGATAATGAAAAGTCTGATCCAGGATAATATCTAGGTCTCAGAACCCAGATAATAACAGAACACAAGCCAGGACTCGCACAGTCTAAGACTAGGTCTCTTTTCAGCAGCTAATTCTTATTTTATTTCACAAAGCCTATTTTTTCTCCCTAAGGAACAATATGGAAATACAAAATGGCACTTCTCTCTGAGAGAGAAAAGAGATCATTCTGTGACATTTAACACTTCTATTTCTCTCTATCACTACCCTTCCTCATACATACACACATATATACACAAGCCACAAAGGTGAGAAAGAGGTGAAACATAGGGGTGTCACCCACCAGGATATTGGCAGCGATGACATCAGGATCATCACAAACAGATTCCACAAAGAATACCTGGCCATGGAGAGAAGGCAGTTATAAACAAGCCAAAAATACCAAGCTGTTAATTAAGAGCACATGCTCCTACCCCACCCAGCCACCACATCTTCCAGGATTTTCTTCATGAAAATCCTTCAAGGCCTCCTCATTTTAAAATAGCTCTTACCACATCCCCTGGGACTCAAACATACAGGCTAAAGGTCTGAGAAAGGACCTGAAAGAAAACACTCAAGGATCGGGGGTATACCCCAAGAGAAGAGAATCAGATATCCAATCCCATCCTCACCAGAGTCAAACAGATCCACACACCATCCTAATGCCCCGCCTCTACTCATCCCTTTAATCTACCATGGAGTCAGATCCTACCTTGAAGGAATTCTCCTCGGCAAAGTTCAAAATCATTTTTCTCCTCTCCCGGGTAGTATTGGTGGCATCAAATACCTGGGCAGAAAACACATGAGGTAAATGAATGGAGACAGAGAAATGGAGCCCCACACCAAGGCAGACCCAAGGTGGGACTGAGAGCTCAGCTGCCGACAGGGTGGAAACACAGAGCTCACCGCAATCTGCCCGTTCTCCTCAGTCAGATAGGTCTTAACGTCTTCCAGGGCCACCATGGCACAATGTCTGCCATGAGAGCAAAGAAAATCAGCAAGAAGAGCTAAGCTCAAACACAGTGGAGGACACAAACAGTGGGATTGCTGCAGGAATCTCATCTCCTCCCACTTAGTTTCCCTCTGGTCAAATTGTTTCCTTAATTTGATCTTTTTCCTCCACTTAAGTTGTTTTTTTTTTCTTTTTGGTGGGGGGTATTGGGGATTGAATCAAGGCGTGCTTTACCACTGGGCTAAGTTCCCAGCCCTTTTTTAAATGTTGAGCCAGGGTCTTGCTAAGTTGCTTAGGGCCCAGGGCTTTGCTAAATTGATGAAGCTGGCTTTCAATTTGCCATCCTCCTGCCTGGGCCTCGAGTCCCAGGTATGACAGGCATGTGACACCATGCCTGGCTCCTTTTAAATTTTTATATCATCTTATACCTTCCTTTGTGCCCCAACACATGTATCTTCTCTTGCTAAGCAAGCCTACAACCATCTCCCTGAGACCTGTTTTTCTACCCAACAAGCCCAAGGTTATCTGCCTATCAGATAACTTCCACTTAAAATACCCACAAGATACTTTTTGAGAAAAAACAAGCCCCATTACATTCAGTCTCATGATGGCCGCAAGAGTTGACCTGGGAGTCAGTTCTTAAAAAAAGACTCACTTGCGGATCTTCATGGCCTCTTTGTTGTCATGCCGAAAGAAGTCGTAGGACTTATAGGACTTGACTGCTTGACGTCGATAAACCCCAAGATTGAACACTGCAGAAGACATCCAAATCCTTCAGCAGCAAATCAGTATCATTGCCCCACCAAAGAGGACATTGGCCTAATGTCAGAGTAGCCAAGGAGTTGAAAATAAAAAGTACCATGGTATGTTGGAGACAATATGATATTAAGAGTCAAAACAGTTGGGTTCAGGTCCTGATTTAGGAGATCTTGGGACAAGTCTTAAGCTGTCTGAATTTCAGCTTTCTGTGTTTCTCTATTTCACAAAGATACTTCTAGGGTTAGACAACAATGCATGTGCAAGGATTTCACAAAAGGAAAGTCCTATTCTCACTGAATTCTTAATAAACCTATCAAAGGCTTTCTCTCAAAACTGGGCCAATTCATCCAGGCCAGGAGGAGACAAGTCCAGGGAAAGAGAATCCAATAAATGAGAAAGCAACCACTATTTCTCCCAGAAGCACCTAATAACCTTAATGCCTTAAGAGAGCCTAAGTCTCCCAGAAGTGAGTGGGGCCCAGGAACTAATCATTCACTTCCCAAGGAATGACTTGCACCTACCTTTGGTAGGTACCCCAATCCAGTTGAGGTAGCGTGTAAGCTTCTTAGACACATAGGTTTTACCCCGGGCTGGCAAACCAATCATAACAATAAGAGTCGGGGAGTTGGTCATGTAGGAGGCCCATGCTAGAAGGAAATGAGAAAAACATAAAACATAAGGTTTATGCACTGGTCTAGAAAAATTCAGTCATACTCTTTGTTTGTTTGTTTGTTTTGGTAATAGGGATTGAACCCAGGAGTGTTTTTTATCACAGAGCTATATCCCCAGTTCTTTTTTATTTTGAGATAGGTCTTGCTAAGTTGATCAGAGTCTCACTAAATTGCTGAGGCTGGCCTCAAACTTGTGACCCTTCTGCCTCAATCTCCAGAGTGGGTGGGATTACAGGTATGTGCCACCATGCCCAGCTCATAATCTTATTTAATCATCCTAAACTTGTGGAGCAAAGGTCCAGCAGGAGTGGGAAGGCAAAGTAAGAATGTATTGAGCAGATCCTCCTGAAATAAAGTTAAAGGTCACACAGATTTCCAGAAAGTACCCAAACCAAGGAATTTCTTTCCCATATTCTTAAGGTTTTCATAGAAATATGTAAAGTGGAGAGTAACCACAGCACCCTTCTTAACATGAGACTGCCTAGCAACATAAAAATGATAGAGCTGTGATTTTATCAATGCCCAACTGGCAGGCTTTTAGGACAGAGTTTCTATCTTGAGGATCCCATCCATTCCCTCAAAGCCACAGGCAAAACATTACCCTGCCAACTGCTCGCCTGTCTGTTTTGTCCTCCTTAAACTGAAATTTCTAAGTGAGATCTGGTAGGAAAAGCCTACTTGATACAAGTTTGAAGAGATCTCTGGAAGCTTCATGCTAGAGCCAATTCACTAGGGCATCTGGGTCAGCCTGACTCAGATGCAAGACAATTGAAAAGCAGGAACAATCCTTTCTTAGTAAATTAACTTATTTCATGAATGAACTTATGTTCACTTAGAGAAAAGTCTCACTATATAGGTGGGGCATTTTAAATGCTCAGAGGTCAGGTGACTTGCCTAAGGACACATAATGAGTCAAGGGTAGAGCTGGCACTGGAATCCAGATCCTGTGCTCTCTCTTCAGCTTTTCTCCATAAAAAGAGGCCCATCCTTACCTTGCTCACAGGTCATACTCTTCCCCGCCCATCCTGCCACAGAGGAGAGCTGGGAGGAACCTGTACTGCTGCAGCCCCTTTCCTGGGGCCAAGACCCAATCTGAGGTCTTGGGGAGGGGGAGGCCTCAAGCTCTTCCAGCTCAGATGGGAAAAGACTCTGAACCAACGGTGGCAGGAAATGGAAATTTCTGCTTCCCAGCACGACTTTCCAGAAGGGTCTCTGCAAATTGTGGCTGCTTCTTTGCAAGAACAAGATGATCCTATCAGGCTAAGAAACTATTCAGTAAAATAGGGGTACTTGCTCAGGAATTGCATCTTTCACCTTTGGAGAAAGAACTGGTAAAAGATTTCAACTGAGAAGTAGGTAGAAGGACCCAGCAAAAGAAATGACCATGGACTCTGCACCCACAGGTTGGGTTTTTAGCCCTTTCTCTTCTGGGTGTGTCGAAATTCCTGACTCTAGGCAGGAGTATCCCTCCAGGTAGGTAATGGAGCAGCTAAGGCGATTTTCATCTCTGTCCAAACAGGGAGCCCAAAGGTAAGCAAACAGCTGACCCCTAACAAGCATATGTACTCTGGCTGGCATTAGCTACCTCAGGTTCAAGTAGTCAAATCCCCTGGGTCTTCACTTTCTCCAGCTGAGTGCACACTCTTCTCAATCCCCCCTGACTTGGTTCATTAGCTGCGTTTCCAGAATTGCTTCGTCCACACCTTCCAGCCCATTAGGCTCTTCCCCCAAAGGTCCTGTTAGCCTCCCCAAAGCTTAAAGTGGTCTGATACTTACCAGCGACTCAGAAGGCAACCAGGGAGCCAGCTGCTCATTGTTTATCAGGCTGGACAGAAAATACTAAGAACAAAAGAACACAGTCCCCCAGGGACTCTACACCCTGCCCTCAGCACCTCCCCTTCTGCCTTGGCTCAGAACACACTCACACACCTACTATAACCTGGACTTCTCCCTTCCAGACTAAAATATAAAACCACACTTCCTAGCTCAGACTGCCACATTGGCAGGAGGAGAAACATTCTGTTCTGTATGTTAAAAAAACAAAATCACCCCACACAACTTTAAATTTGAATGGAAGTTACTTCACATTGCAGGGACACTGTAATGCCATCTCTTGACAGACAGTGGAAACCTGTCTCATTCCTGAAATTCTCATCTGTCTCCATTATACAGTTTAACTTGGTTTTTTAATTGTAAACTCATTTTCTCTTCCTAAGCATGCTTAGAAAAGATGAAGGTTATCTTGATGACTTCCCTCATATACAAAGAAAAACTCAAGCCCAGAGAAGTTGAAGCATTGCCCACAGTTCCACAATACAGAGTCAAGGTCAAGGCTCTTGACCAGACTCAAGGTCTCACAACTTCCCATTTAGTCCCAGCTCCTGGGCCTCCTGTCAGTACTTAACCCAGCATGGTAACCATAACTATTCTTTTCATCCTAACCTAGAAGAATGATCTGGAGAGCAAGGGTTCCTATCCTTTCCATGGTCAAGGTCTTCTTCCAGCATTCACTCTAAATGGGTCCATAAAGCTTGCTTCATTAGTAATATCTAATTTTTATTCATCAGAAGTAAAAAAAAAAAAAAAAAACCTGATTATCTCCTGTAATTTTACTGATGGGCACAAAAAAGCCAAGTTACATGCAGCCAAATAATAAGGAAACTGATATTTTAGTCAACCAGTGCAGCTATAGATGATCGTGTCCAACTTCCATTAAGTATCTTGAAATACTGGAAGCAGCTTACAAAACTGAATTTCCTTGGAGAGCAAATTAGTAACACTTATCAATAATAGCTACATTGTGACTGCCATTTCTCCTATTATTTTAGCAGGAAAAGTTTCTGACACAAATGCACAAAGGTATAAGGATGCCCACTGCAGCATTCTTTGTGATAGTAGAAAAGTTGAAGATAATTTACATACCCTACAATGGTGAATGAGGCGAATCTGGACTTAACAACATGGAAAAGATTCTGCAATATAGTAATTTTTATTTATTAAAAGGAAATGGCAGCAGAACAGAATATATACAGTATGAACCTATTTTAATAGGATGTGCCAGAATAAGATGTCTACAAGAATCAAGCTTAGCAGGGATGGGAGCGATTCTAAAAGACTTTTACTTTTCACTTTCTTTCTGTGTTGTCTGGATTATTCATGAACATGGACTGCTTTTTTACTTAGGGAAAGGTTCATATATGAATTTTTCTGCTCCAGATCTACTCAAGATATCAAAAACCTAAAAGAATCAACAACAACAAATGTAGATTCCCCTATTCCTGTTTTCAGAAAACCCTAAAATTGCGGGGAGGGGCATAGGAAAGCAGCTATTAAACATTTTAAAAGGATCTCAACCAGCAGTCCCTTTGAATCGCCATTCCTGGAGCAGCCGAAGTCCCAATAATGCTCCTTTGGAGGTTCTGGCTCCCTGAAGTCATTCTTCAGCCCCAATTTCAGTCCTCAAGACCAGTCACTTCCCAGACTCAAGTTCAGCCAGCACAAGTGTAATTAACAGCAAGGGGACAACAGTGGACACAGTGATAAAGCAACTGCTGGTACGAATGCTAAGCAGCCAGGGAACCTGAAGCAAGGTACATTCTGCATCTGAATTTACCAACATGGAAAGATGTCCATAATATAGTAAGTTTGTTAAAAAGGATGTGGATGGGCTGGGGATGTGGCTCAAGCGGTAGCGCGCTCGCCTGGCATGCGTGCGGCCCGGGTTCGATCCTCAGCACCACATACAAAGATGTTGTGTCCGCTGAGAACTAAAAAAAATATTTAAAAAAAAAAAAAAAAAGGATGTGGTGGCAGAACAGAATACTTATGATATGAACTTACTTTCATTAATAGAATACACCAGAATAAGATGTCTAAAAGAATCAAACTTACATATGTCTCTGTACATAGCAAAGGAAAAGGAAAAAAAAAAAAACTAATGCATAGTCTCATAACGGTGTATTCTACTCTCTTGATTGTGAGTGCCACAGTCTCACAGTCCAACTGAGAGGTAAAGAACATGGTATACAACATGAATGACCATGGCTTTAGGACAACCCAGAGACCTCTACTTGGGGAGAAAAAGCAGTTTGGAGAAGAAAATGGAGCTTGAAAAGAGAAATTAAGAACCCAGAGCAGGAATGAGAACCTAAAAATCATAAAAGAAATCTGGGATTACTGCTTCCTTAATTAAAAGCCCTTAAAGCAGAAAAATTGCAGAAAAGGTAGGAAAGCCTGCTCCTGTGAAGAATCAGGCAAAGCCAGGAATGACACTGGGTGTTCTATGTAGGCAAAAATACCCATGATTTCCGGGCACAGTGGTCCATGCCTGTAATCCCAGCAGCTCGGGAGGCTGAGGCAGGAGGATGAAGAGTTCAGGCCAGCCTCAACAATTTAGGAAGGCCTTAAGCAACTCAGTAAGACTTCATCTCTAAATAAAATACAAAAACGAGCTGAGGATGTTAAGGGGTGGGGATATAACTCAGTGCTCCTGAGTTCAATCCCTGGTACTGGAAAAGAAAGGAAGGAAGGAAGGAAGAAAGGAAGGAAGGAAGGAAGGAAGGAAGGAAGGGAGGGAGGGAGGGAGGAAGAAAGGAAGACCCACAGTAATTAGCTCCGAATTCAGCTCTCTACTCCCATCCTAGCTCTCTAATGAGGAGTGAACCCAGAGGTGCTTTACACTGAGCTACATCTCTAGCCCTTTTTATTTTGACCAGGGTCTCACTAAATTGCTAAGGCTGGGATTATAGGCATGCAAAACCACAACTGGTTTCCACTCTCCTTTGAATCAAACATCACAGTAACACGAGTGTACTCCCTTTAAGAAGTATATCCTAAACCAGGCATGGTGGTGCATGCTTGTAATCCCAGCTGCTCGGGAGGCTGAGGCAGGAAGATTGCAAGTTCAAAACTAGCTTCAGCAACTTAGCAAGGCCCTAAGCAACTTTGCAAGACCCTGTCTCTAATAAAATACAAAAAGAGGGTGGAGATGTGGCTCAGTGGTTAAGTGCCCTGGGTTCAACCTCTGGTACAAGAAAAAGAAAAAGTGCATCCTAGATCACCAAATCTGAATTACAATATTGTCAAACAAGATAAGAAAGCATTCTTTCTGAAAAAAATAATTCTTCACAGGGCTGTTTTTAAATGGTGAGCCCCCAGCTCACCATTTGAATATAATTTTATTTATACACAATGTTTCAAAAGAATAAATCCAGGGGCTGGGCTGTAGCTCACTGGCAGAATGCTTGACTAGCACCTGTGAGGCACTGGGTTCCATCCTTAGCACCACACAAAAATAAACAAATGAAATTAAGGCATTCTGTCCATGCAAAACTATAAATTTTTTTTTAAAGAGTAAGTCCAAGAGGATGATAGTTACCTGTGAAAAATAATACATTAGCTATGTCCAAAATTCTTCTATATTTGTGCTTTCCTAAATTTGCTCATTTAATCCTCACATCACTCTTCGGGAGGATATTATTGATATTCCCATTTTGAAAAGGAGTAAACTGAGGCATGGAAAGAGAAAGCAACTTATTCAAGGACACACAGCTAAGAAAGAATAAAACCAGTGTTCAAACTCAGGCAGTATGACATTGACACTAGAGGTTACACTTAAGAACCATGCTATATTAGTTATCTCTCCTGGGGCATTTTGCCCTTGGCACATGGCTTCCTGCCCTGGCAGAGAAAGGAGACCCTAATCACAGAGGTGTGCCAACCTCAGTGTCACATCCAAACCAGCTGCTTCTGTCCAGCAGGCCTCACAGGTGACTGGGGAAGAGACAGTATCATTTTAATCATGAAACTGACAAGAGCTTGACATCAAAGTCAAGGCTCTAGGGAAAGCATTGAACAAGAGACAAGTCCCTGGTCTCCTGCTGGTCGGCTGTTTCCACCTGCTGACATATATAACCACTGAAGTGAGAAAAACTGACTGATAGGGTTCCAAAGGAAAGGTGCAATCTGGAAGCAGAGAATAGAGTTAGCATTCCTTGAGGTTTCCAGAAACATCTTGTGACTTAAAGTTCCAGACTTCTGAGCAGCTATGCAGTCTATAAAATCCTAAGGAATATAGATGACAAGGGACAGGAAGTGGTACTTCATCCCCCTGAAGCCCCTCCTGCTATCTCTATCTAAAAGACTGACATGGAAATGCTCCTGTGTAATAGTTTGCAAAGTACAATAGCTAAACCTGGAAGAAGGTAAAGTGCCCAAGACACCATGAGAAATCACTTGTCAGGGCTCATTTCCCGGAGGCCTGTAGGAGTGACACAAGGTAACACTGGCTCCTACCTGCAGTTTCTATAGTGAGCAGCACCTGCTTGGAACTTAGCCCAACAGATGAAAGGAAACTGAGATGGTAGCAGCCCCAAGTAATTCCTACAACTTACCACTCTTATTCACTGTTTGTACAATGCTTGCTCCAACTTCCAGCATTAAGCAAGTGTACAGATGTTCAAAAAGAAAGAAGAAACCACTGGGCCACACCAGCAATCTAGCTGGAAGGTGAGAGTCTACTTGTTTCAGACAGGAAATTGCTCTCTGAAAATTTTGTTTTAAATTTCCAGCATCAAAGAATTATTTCTCACTCTCACTAAGCAGCAGAGTCTAATATTACAACTATATTCCCAAGAACTATATTTTTTAGAACTCACAACATTTCTTATCTGTCATTCGAAGATTAGCAGTCTTGGGTTCATATCTGTTCTTGTTCTGTACTGGGGAAGATGAAGAATTCTCAGACATGGTAGCTCTTCAGGAGGCACCTGAAAGGGAGAAAAAGAATGCAAAGGAAGGGAAGGAAGAACATGTCCCTCAAAACACTCAGTGCAGTGGAGCAGTGTGGAATAAGTAAAAGAACACTAGGCCAAGAACCAAGTCTATTCCTGTTTCTCCCAGTTAACAGTTACCTGTCACAAATATCTTCCATCTTCTGTTTCCTGTTCTATAAGAGATAAACTGGAGCTTTGTATTTATTTGCTGAGTGAGGAGCTTACATTTACATACCTTATTTCCTGAAATGCTTCCCAAAAAACCCTCTAATAAGGCAGATTTTATTACCACTATTGCTTCTTTCCATTTTATAGATTGAAAAAATGAGGTAAAAATCAAATTAAGTGGCTTGTGCAAGCTTCCTCCTGGCCTCAGATTCTAGTTTTAATACTAGGGAGAAAAGTAGTGGGAATCGGGAGTAGATGGGAATGAGAATAGATCAAACTCATTATCAAGAAAGTAATTCCACTCCAAAGGTAAGACTCTGACTTGGGGGGTGAGGGGAAGGGATGAGCATGAGGGAAAATCTCATGTAACTGGACCCTGAGACAGCCATAGCATATCCCAAGTTCTCCTCTGGTGTTCTTCTCAAGCCTTGCTCGGTACTGTCTCCCTATTTATCTCCTGGGACTCAATGTAAAGATGAAACCTGACGTGCAAAGGTGGTAAATGACTTCCCCAAGGTTACCTGCAAAATAAAATTTAAATCCTGATATGAACTAGGGTGGGAGAGCCCAAATCCAGAAACTAAGGGGGCTCGTGATACATGGGGTCCTATGCCCTTGCGCTATTCCTTCACTGAAGGCAAAAATCCTCAACCCAACAGCAGCTGGGGCCGCTCGGGATCCTTATAGATCTGCACTCCAGACGTGCCCTGCGGCCGGCACTTCCCGAAAGGGCGAGGCATCTCTACCCAGCACCGCATCCCGGCGCACTCAGACCCCTCATCCCGCCCGCTTAGACACTTGCAGGTGTTGCGTAGCTGTCGCTCACCCTACGATCTCTTCTAAGATCCCCTCCCGGCTGCGACACTGGCGCTTCCCTAGTAACGTTGCAGACCCGAGCTGACAGACTGTGGCTAGGGGCCCGGCACCCCAGTCTCCGACAAATCACGTGGCTCGGCCTGGCTCCGCCCACTAGCGCGTCAACGCTCACCTGGAGAGAATCATCAGCCAATCGAGAATTTGCAGGACCTAGTGGGCGGGGCTCCAGGCGGAATCGCGGTCCCTGGCTCCAGAAGGAAGATGGATCTGTGAAGGAGAAAGACCGCAGCTCCTAAGTCTCCCAGCACTGCGGAGGTTGGTTGCGTCGTTGCTTGGTAACTAATTAAGGCTGGGGGCGGGGCTAATTAAAAGACTTTTTTTTCATATTATCGCGAGAGCGGAGTACTAAGGAGACGTCTTGAGAGGGTGTGACTTTATGGTGGAAACGTTGAGAATATTAACGCTTTCATTCCTGAATCCTCGTTAAAATCCATGAATTGGGACGTAAGCTTTAAAAGGTGCTTCGCTAGCTGCCACAGGTACTTGAGCTGATTACACGTAGTGTTTGTATGACCTTCCCACCCATAGGTCAGACACTAAAGTCAACTGCGCTCTTAATCAATAGCTCACCCTCCTTTTCTCCCCACCCTATATCATCTGCGATGGTAAGTAATCTTGAAGAACAAAGGAGAAAACTGCACTAGCAAAAAACTGGAGAGGGAAGTTGGGGATATAGCTCAGAGATAGAGCGCTTGCCTAGCATGCTCAAAGCCCTGGGTGCCATCCCCAGAACTGCAGAAAAAGGAAACTGAGTCGTGAAAGATATGAAAAGACGCAAAGATTTCGTGAAATTTATTCACAGATGGAAGCTTTTAATGGAGTTTGCACATTCCAAGTGAACTACACTTTTCATAGTTTCCCCAGCGGGCCTTTTGATGTTTGATTCTACCTATAAATCCCCTCTAAAAAGGGTGGGACTTTTGCTGTGGATCCAGGATGGAAAAAGAACAATGATTTCTTGAAAAATGGATACATTCAGGTACTTATTTATTTCTCCTTTGCAGAGAATTTTTCATCATTCAAAACAGTTCAAATATGTAGTTACAGACTCTCTGAGGTGTTCTACAACTCTCAGCGTGTTATTGTTGCCCTACAAACTGTCTTTATCCATCCAGAGAGTAGTTATTGAACACTTTATATTTTCAAGGCACAGTCTTAGGTTCCAGGCACACAAGGTTGAAAATGGCCATATAACTAGCATTAACCACGTTGCTATGAAATTCAGCGGTTATGTTTCTTATGCCTTTTCTTCTCTCTGGACTACAGTAAGTACTTATACTGAAGGCAGGAATGAAGTCTTCATATTTGTACACCCAGGAATTGAACTGGAATTCGGATGACAAGCCTTAGTCTTCTGCATTCCTCCTTATACTGCCACTACCTGAATGAGGCAATCGCCCTAGGCTCAGATGCTGACCTCATACTGCGCTTTCTGAGGTGGCAAATAGACGTTTTCAAGTTTCAGTCCCACGGAGGTGGAAAGGCCACTGGTCCAGCCCCCTTAACCCCAATGAGTCAATGTTTGGTGTAGCCACGAGTCTAGTCACGAGTCTCATTGTTTTTGACAGAGCCTTTGACTCATTGACCAATCTTGTCATTCATTTGCGTTCTTATCATTCTGTTTCTCCTGGTGTAGTTTGAGAGTCCCTATTTAATAATTTCCGACCTGGGTGCAAGGTTACATTCCACTCTACTGGATTCAGGAACTCCTTCCCCCGCCCTCTTCGCTTGAGCATATATGCTACCGACGCGGACGGCAGCTCACTCTCTGTACAGGTAGCAAGAACAGCTGTACTTTAGGAATACCGACAAATTTATCCTTCGGCTCCTGAGGGTGGGCGGAGAAATTAGTTATCGCTTTAAGAGAGTTAGCTCTTTAATAGGAGTACTAAGGTAGAGGCCGAACCAAAGTGTCGCGAGAACTGTAACACCGGCAACATCTCGCGATGTTTGGCCCCTCAAAAGGTGGCCATTTTGGAGTCCACTCCGCGGCTGGTTGCCCTGGCGGCGTCTCCCAACCGGCTGGCGGGACCAAAACTGGCCCTGCGGGTGTCTGGCCTGTGGGCGGCCGCGCCGACACAATGTGGCGGCTCCGCTGCAAGGCCAAGGATGGCACCCATGTTTTGCAGGGACTGTCCAGCCGAACCCGGTTGCGAGAACTCCAGGGCCAAATTGCCGCCATCACCGGGATCGCTCCCGGCGATCAGCGAATCCTTGTCGGATACCCGCCCGAATGCCTGGATCTCAGCAACGGGGATACCACTCTGGGGGACTTGCCCATCCAGTCAGGTAAGGGAATCGGGGCAGGGGCCTGGGGAAGTCCTGGAAGGACGTTGAGGGGAGAAGTGAGAACCAGCAAGGCTAGGCAGCAGTGGGTCAGCTGGGGGCTTTGAGGCCAGGGGAGAGGCTAGATCAAAGAAGAGAGAACTTGACAGAGGCAGGGCAAGTGTCTAGCAACTCCTTTGTTTACACACGCTTGAGAGAAAAGCCAAAAGCCTAGGAGTCCCTCTTCCCCAACCTGCTTTCAGATCAACCTGGAAACAATCTCGTTCATTTTGTTTTCTTTGCATTCACAAAATTATAAAAATATAGGACCTATTTTCTTTGCCTAATGCGTTTCCCCCCTCCATCCCCAGTGTCTGAAAGTTGCGTCATACTTTTTTTTTTCCTGATTTCTTCTTGCAGTCCCCTTCTTATATAGTTCGACAGATATATTATTCATTTTAGAATTAACTTTTAAAAATATTCACTAAAAGCCCTTTCAAGTTCTAACCAACAGCAGTTAATTTTTGCTCAGTATTAAAACTTGAACATCAACATTGACAATTAAAAGCTTTCCGACGTTCTGTCAAGAACTCTGTAAACACTAAATAGGGTAGATATGTTAAGTTTCAGAAGGAGGAGAACCCCCTAGTGGCCTAGTCTAGTGTGAACATCTTCTGGAATGTTTGTGCTTTTAAATGCAGACAGCAAGTAAGAAAAGTTTGTTTTCAAAATGTATCTTTTTAAGTATATATAAAGGGATATACTCCAAGCCAATTCACTAAATTGGGATGCAATCTGAAGTGTTTTGTGTTCTCTTGTTCTCATCTTTATGAAGAGACAGTGAACAAATGTTTATAAAGTTGTATTCTTCTTTGGGGGGTAGGTACTGTGGATTGAATTTGGGAGCCACATCCCCAGCCCTATTTTGTATTTTTAATTTTAGAGACAGGGTCTCACTGAGTTGCTCAGTGCCTGACTGTTGCTGAGGCTGGCTTTGAATTCCCAGTCTTCCTGCCTCAGCCTCCCTCCACTATATGCTTTAACTTCTGTTTGTAATTTAATTTTGTCTATAATTTCACTGCAGTTCTGGATTTGTTTTATTTTTAACAGGCGACATGCTGATCGTTGAAGAAGACCAAACCAGACCCCAAACTTCACCTTCATATACAAAACATGGTGCTCCTAGTTATGTCAGGGAAACTTTGCCTGTGCTTACCAGAACTGTGGTCCCAGCTGACAACTCTTGCCTCTTTACCAGTGTATACTATGTCGTTGAAGGTGGAGTCTTGAATCCAGCTTGTGCCCCTGAGATGAGACGTCTTATAGCACAAATTGTAGCAAGTGATCCAGACTTATATAGTGAGGCAATACTGGGAAAAACAAATCAAGAGTACTGTGACTGGATCAAAAGGGATGATACTTGGGGGGGAGCAATTGAGATATCAATTTTGTCTAAGTTTTATCAATGTGAAATATGTGTAGTAGATACACAAACAGTAAGAATTGATCGTTTTGGAGAAGATGCAGGATATACCAAAAGGGTTCTACTGATCTATGATGGCATCCACTATGATCCGCTTCAGCGAAACTTCCCTGATCCAGATACCCCTCCTTTGACCATTTTCTCCTCTAATGATGATATTGTCCTTGTACAAGCACTGGAACTAGCAGATGAAGCTAGAAGAATGAGACAATTTACTGATGTAAACCGCTTTACCCTGAGATGTATGGTGTGTCAGAAAGGATTAACTGGACAAGCAGAAGCAAGGGACCATGCCAAGGAGACAGGCCATACCAACTTTGGAGAAGTGTGATCTATGCATGATGAGGGTTGAAGCCTACTACCTCACAGATCCAGAAAGCTCTGGGTTTTCTAATAAGCTATTCTTAACCCTGAAGAACAAAGGACACAATGCTTGAACCATCCTTTTAACTTAAACCACTAAGACACTGAAATTCCTTGTTAAGATTAAAATTAGTGTGCAAGTTTACAGATGTGTGTCTACAGTGGTGATACATGCCCTCTTTCTGCTGGGGTGACAGAATAGGTGGTCCTCAGCCACTTGCTGATACTAACCTGAAGATTGGATTTTAGTATTACAAACTAGCATCCAGGAGCTTTAACTTGTAGAAGAAAACATCATATTTGGGGTAATGTGGAAGGCCTCGTGTTAAGGCCACTGGACATGAACCACAGTGTCTCCAGTAATTGCTTCCTTTTAAAACTGAGTTAATAGTTTCTAAATTAAGAATTCATCAAATGAAGATACAATTGTCGAAACTAATTTTATACTGCAATTTGTTAGACTTTGTAAGTGTGTACTTAACCACTTATAAGTACATAGCAAGCAATTTTTGCAGGGATAAGTCTATTCCTTGAGAATGTTATCTAAACAGGAATTGATTGGGTCCTGTTTAAGATTTCTAGTGTATAAAAGCAGAATGTATGAGGGAAAAGGTGCCTGAAGCAGCTTATTGAAGCTTTAAAAGACCATTGGCCTCATGTTTTAATGCAATTTATGTATTAGTGTTTGTCAAATTGGACAAAATTTTAAAATTAAGCAGGGTATGCTATTTCAGTTAAAGTTCCTTAAAATTTGAGTGCTCAATTTTTGCTTTTTAAAAAAAAAAAATACACATTTGCCTGAAGGGCTTTAATTTCCTCAGCCTTTTTGTTAAGAGCACTTCCTCCAAGAAAAAGTCTTCATCTAAAGTGATAATGCTATGCCTTGGTTTGGTTTTTATAAGATCTTTTGCATACCTACCTAGTGTTTTTGTGCTGCCAGTATCCCTCCACTAATGCTCTTTAGAATATTCCATGTTACAAATTAGCACTTGGCTTATCTTTCATATTTTACTTTGACTTTTGAACAGTTTTAAAGTAATTGGTATAATACTATTGAATGAATTTGTTTCACTTCCAAAATATGAAAGTTTTTAAATCCTTGCCTTATTCAGCTTTCTAAATTCTGCTTCTTCCTAATATCAGATGTGTAGCCATTTGCTTGGTGGACTGATCCTCAAGGCACACCCTTTAAAACTTAGCTTCACCACAAGATCTTCCAGATAAAGTTTCCTACCTCTTAATTCTTATGAAGATCAGGGATGCTAAATTATAATTTGTTATGTATTTACACAATGTAAAGAGGCCTAATGTTGTGAAGTTTTGTTATCTTGTTTTCATTATTTATTATCTCATAGAGAACCAGTGGATACTTTAAAGCACTTATAACTCCACATATCTTCTTGGCAGATGTTTTAAACTTGAGATTTACCTATAGCGCTTTTATGGTGACAGTGGCCATGTAAAATAAAGGAACATAAAGGTGAACGATTTAGGAGGACAGTTCCTTGAAGGAACAATTCACAAAGTGTGCTTTAAATCATCAGATGACATTTCCTGAGTACCTTTTGTGTGCACTGCTGTTTTAGGCATTATAAGTTATTATGATCAGTGTAAGTTGAATGTTTCATTTTCTTTTTTAACTGAGCCTTAAAAAATAATGCTCCTGAGCTTATGATACTTATATGTTCAGCAATCATCATATGAACAGATGAATATGATATGAAAATCTCTTCATACCTGTCTGTCATTGGGTCTAGATGGTTTTTGTAGCTCCTTTATTTTCCCCAGAAAATATTAAATTGAAAACTATAAATTAAGATTATACTACTGGGTAGCATCCATCAAATTGAGCATTATTCATAAAATTTGCCTTCCTTTCTGTGCCACTTCAGGAGCCAAATTTGACCTTTGCTACTGAAATTTTAGATTTAGAAGTTTATTTGTGTGGCAAATATTGAGTAATTTATAATGTGCCTGGCATGTTTTGATGTTTCCCAGCATGCATTATTGTCACTTTAAAATTGAGTATATGTTATCTACAGTGGATTAATTTAAAACATGGAAGACATAGAACACTCATTTTAAAATTAAGCCCCTTCATTATAATTGTTGTTTACATATTGTCAGGTATTTATTTGGGGGTCTTATTCTATTTTATCTTTTACCTAGGTTGTCCATTGACCACGTAGACATTGATATTCAAATTGCTTTCAGAATTCACTTCTTAAGTTAATATTTGCTGAAATTCAGCACTAGTACTTTAGTGCTCTGATCATGGAAAAATTCAAGATGAGACACTATTTGCTGACAATAATTAAGAATTAAAAACTTAAACTGCGTATTCTAAACTAAAGCCTGAAAGCCTCACAGAATTTAAAGCGTTTTTTTCCTCCTACTGCACTTAGTAAACTTTTTTTTCTTGTGTGTGTGTGTGGTGCTGGGGATTGAACCCATGGTCTTGTGCATGTGAGGCAAGTACTCTACCAACTGAGCTACATCCCAGCCCTTATCTTGAGAATTTTGAAAGCTCTATGGATTTAGTACTTACAGCAGTATTAAAAGAAACTGTGTCCCAAGTTTGCACTGGAGGAGCAGAATGAAATCCTTCTTCCTATTCAGTTTTTGCCTGTCATACAAGATTTTTTTTTTAAAATAAAATGAGAGTCATTCTGCCACAGTTAATGGCAGAATGAATAGACTGCTTTCCCAACCTATCGCCTGTTCTTTCTTACTCTTCTGATTAAAGATCAGGTGTAGTACTATGAAGATTCACTCATAAGAGTGACTTCAGAAGTTGAAATTAATATCCACGAGAATTTTGTGTTAGTCATATGAAGACATTGGTATGTTACATGTTTTGCTAATTATTATTTCCCATGAATGAGAAATGGGCATAGTCAAGTGTTACCCTTGAAGCTTTGTCTGCTGGTCAGCTTTAACCTGTTACAAGCTATAAAGTCATTCCATTGTTTCAAGAAGTTCAAGTCCCAGCAAAATCATTATCAGGAATTAATTTATTTATTTATGCCCCTAAGTGCCCACACCTAACTTTTTAGGTTATTTCTTCTGTCCTGTGTAGAGATTAAAACAAGGGTGTTTCAATGTACCCTGGCTAATCATAGTTTTTTATCTTTTTGAAAAAATTACAGTGGGGGAGTATGTACACTTAAGCAACAGAGTGATTTTTTTTTCTTTTGATAAATCAGGTGGCCTTCTTAAACTTGCGTATATTTAAGAGTTATGTTCTTTCATGTGTTGAGACACATTTATTGTTTGCAGCACTTTAAAAAAATGAAATAAAAGTTTACATGTTAGCTCTATAGGGATCTTGTTGAGGACATTAAAATTTCTGAGCTGCTAACCATCAGCTCTTCATAATCAACTATTGCTGTAAATGTTTAGTGTATCAAGTGGTAAACATTCTGGTGTTTTGATAACAGTAGAACCCAATTTCAGTAACTATTAGGAGCATGATCTGTGCCCTAGCATAAAATATGTTATTGCTATGAAGTGATTATGATTTATCATTTGTTATGCAGTGCAGTATTGAAATTTGTCCTTATAGCATAAAGATGACTAACAATTTCTGAAAGATGTGGATTCTTAAAGCTCTTCATTTGTTTCTAAGTAAACTTATTTTAAGGAAGCTGATTTTTTAAGTCAAAAGCCTTAAAAATGTCACATAGAGCCAACATCATTTAAGTCTAAAGCAAAACACAATTTGAGTAAGTTAGTTTATTAACTAAAGATGTTTTCTGATTAAGCATTTAATATTTTAGCCATATTTCATCCAACATGAAAAGAAACTTCCCTGATTTGGGGGAAATGTTTTATCTTCTCCAAACGCTAGCTAGCACTTTGTTATAGTGCTTTGAATATTTGACTTGGAAAAAGATATTACATTGATACTGAATTATGAGGTGCTGACTTAATTCTTGATTCACATGCATTTAATGGAGGTTGATAACCTGTGGTATTTTAGAGTGAAAAAGGGGTAGGAGAATAAAGTCCCACTAAAAAGGAAGAGATTGTCAAATGAATGCATTACTTGTCATAAATTATGAGTTTCAGAAAAATTTCCAAGCAATGCCTTTGTGTTGCCCCAATCTTTTTCTTCCATTTTTTTTTTTTTTTTGGCATAGAATGTAGCAGGGCCATAGATGAAAAGGAGTGATATTAAAGTATAAGACCATGAATTTCGCTGATTCCCTTTTATACTTTTGTTTTCTAAAATAGTAACCTACATCTAGGAGTTTAGTGATAGTGAAGAGACATGATTTGGTTAAGTTAAAGATAAGCAGAAAGGTTAACATCAGAAAGACTTAGAATTAGATTCTGTGAGTCTGACTTTATGTCAGGTGTAGAATATGTAGTTAATTATAATCCATAAATTAAGTAAAGGACCAGGGGACCTAATTCATGCCAATTTTCCAGTTCACATTGGTGCCATCCAGGACTCAAGCTGTTTACAGGAAATATACTCAGCAAAGTTATATTTTCCTTTAAAATTTTTGAATTTAGCTTAAACTGCAGAATAAGTATGTATAATTTGTTCAAAGGAATAAAGAATAACAATAGTTCTGCAATTCCTGCATTAATACAGTAAAGGCAGATGTTCCTAAAGCAAGAAGAAAATCACAAGGCTGTCAAACTTAGAGCTTTAGAATATAGCTTGAAAAAGTAGTAGAGAAAGGCAAAACAAAACAAATCTGTTTTTCTTAACATAAGATATTTTTTCCTATGAAGAATAATGAACAGTGTTGTTTTCAAAATCTTACTTTGTCTATTTGCCAGCTTTTTTTTTTCTTTTTCAAAGTTAATGCACTGCTGCTACCTGGAAGATACCTAATTTCATTTTGTAAAATTCATGTGAATTTGCCATTGTCATTAAGATGCATTGATTTTATTTATGAGGTGTATGACTTTAAATATATAAATGCTGTATGAAGTGACTTGTTTTAAAAGAATAAATGAATGAAAACCTTGTTGTTTGAGCATATTTTGGGATCAGGGTGGAAAGCCAATGGACAGCCACGACACTCAAGTTAGATATTATCAAACAGACGACTGCTTTGATTATATTTAGGTGGACTCAACAGGAGAATGTGTTTCTCCTTTTTAACACCAGAGAATATTTGAAATTAACCTTCACTATTTTTTTCCCCTAAATCTGTTCCCCAAAGCTCAAATTCAGTATCATTTCTGTCAAGTTGGAAGACTGAATGCTCCTGTTCATTTTATTTATTTATTTATTTTTTATTTATTAGGTACTGGGAATTGAACCTAGGGGGCTTTACCACTGAGCTAGATACCCAGCCCTTTTAAATTTTGAGACAGGGCCCTGCGAAGTTGCCAAGGCTGGCCTCAAACTTGGCGATCCTCCTCTTTCAGCCTCCCTGAGATGCTGGGATTACAGGTGTGCACCACTGTGCCCAGGGTTGCTGTGATAATAGACAAATCTGTATGAATTTACATCTGTTTGAAAATGGAAATATTTCTGAAAGAACTTATTTTGTCTTTGATGTCAACATTTAAATACTTTTTTGAAACAATACTAGGGTTATTAGAATTGATCAGAATTTAGGCCCTCTAAATTGAACTATTTTAACTCTCATTGCAATAAGTTTTTAAAAGTAAGGAAGTAGAACCATAATAATGCAATCTAATCTGTACCAGGACAAAATACATCCTGGGCTCAGTATAAATTGAACATAAGTAAGCCAATCCACATTAAAAGTTTATATGTAGTCTCGGCTCTGTGATGGTAGTTTGTTGAAAATTAACTGCCCATAAGCAATGCTTCTCGAAGTGCTTCTCAACACATTTCCTAGGAACTTGTTAAGAAATGAAAATTCTCAGAAGTTGATGGGGCCCAATAATTAGTTTTAAATCATTGTTCAGCTTTAGAGATACCTCTGACTTCTATCGGTAGTATTTATCTTCACTCACTACCAGTTAATGAAATTTACAGGTTAATGTAAATCCCGAGAAAAGTGAAGACTGGTAGTACAATGAATGACAATTCAAAATTCTACAGGCTAAAAAAACATTAAATGTTTAACTCTTCGCATTGGGGTGGATAAGTCTTTTCTAAATTTTGTTGGTTTACATTATTTCCGCTGGAGCTTGAAAAGGGAAGGTATGAGTTCTAGATAATCCAACCAAAAAAAAAGGTGAAAGGTTTTTCTCAGAAATATGATAAAGACAGTAAACTGATCAAATCACACTTTAAAAAATACAAAATAAGGAACAGATTGAATTATGTTGACCTACAAAATGATCCCCCCATTGGATTCATCCTTTTTTTTTCCTTTTTAATTTTTTTTTTAATTTTTTATTGTTGTTCAAAACATTACAAATTTCTTGATATATCATATTTCACACTTTGATTCAAGTGGGTTATGAACTCCCATTTTTACCCCATATACAGATTGCAGAATTACATCAGTTACACATGGATTCATCCTTTAACATCAAAAGACCCAGTTTTCTTTTTCTTACTCTTGAATGAAGGCTGAGAAGATGACTTTAAATTTGGCTTAGAGAAGATAAGTAATAATTAGATAAGCTGTTAAAACAACAAACCCTTACTGAACTTCTACTTATTGCAAGATATAGTGTCAAATGCCTCAGGATTACATGGATACCAATTTATTCAGTATTTTTTAATGATCTGATGTGCCAGGAACTGCCCTGGGTGCTGGGTATATATTGGAGTGAGAAATAAAAACACCTACCAATGTAAAGGAATAAAAAATTAGGGGTTGAAGAGATAATGGGTGGGAGAACCAAATTAAAATTGGAGAATCCGGGAAAGCCTTTTTGAGAAAGTGACATCTAAGCCGAAAAAAGAAGCATGAATGGGAACTAGTTGAAAAGTAAGAACATTCTAAGTAGGAGGTATAGCATTTGAAAACACAATATTGCAGGAGGAAATGAAGTATTTTTCAGATCAATCTGTCCACAGTGTGTTAAACAAGGAGAGGGACTCAAAATGAAGTGGTAGGTTCCCAGATAAGAGTGCCTTTAGTTCTATTAAGCACCTACCCCATTTAATATTTACCAGGTTGTATTTGATTGTTTATATTTGTGTCCCAAAATAGTTTGTATACTCCAACCAGTTCTGTCCTTTTATCATTATATATTGTATTCCCAGGACCTAATGAAGTACTGGATGCATAATAGACATTCAATATATATTTGATGAGTTAAACATGAATAAATGAAGTTAAGGTATAAGGAAATACACATTAACCTTGATATTTATCATAAAATCATTAAGAGGACATTAGAGCATTTTAAGGAAAGCATCAGATTAAGGCTTCTCAAAGGAATTTTATTAGCTCTTGTAATTGGGAATTCTACGGGGTTTTGACCGAACTAGAAAAAGAGGTTCAAATAAAGACTTTTAAGAGTTAGCACATCACCATCATCATCATTATCATCATCATCACCATCATGGAAATATCAGAATACTGGCGATAAAGAGGAGGACCTAAAATTTAGGATCAGAAATGCTTTGGGCTTTTCAACAACACTTGAAGCTAGCAGACATTAACCCCAAACACTATCTAGCCATTCCATCAATCACACCTATGGATAGAATAATGGTATTGTTTCAGTCAAACAAGGCCTTATGCATTTATTCTCAGGAAGTTGTTGGAGAATGTGTTGTAGCAAAAGAAGAGAGATAACCCAAGAAAGAGGAAGAAATGAATTCTATGGATAATCCAACAAAAGAGCAAAGTGAAATGATTTTTCTAATGATGACATATCAAAACAATAGTCATTGAATTCCCTAGTGAACAACCTAGCCAAATGAAAACAGGTCAGAATTCTCTGGGAAATTTTTTTCCCCCATGAGATTAATAGAATACCTAATGTCCTTGAAAGTGCTGAGAAGATATTTACATAATGGGTGGGAGGGGCGTGTAAAGCAACATGGAAAAGAAAGAGTAACTATAGTATATCTCATTGCACAACTGTGGAAAGCACTTATTAAATCATGAAAGGAAATAATATATATGCAGTACATATTAAGTATTAAAATGCAAAAATGTATAGGGGTGAGGATGTAGGTGTAGATGCCATAAGGAGGGACAAAGAACAGTACAAGAGAGAGCAAAGTCCTTATCTTGCATAGTAGAAAGGAGAAAATATGAAGATATAGCATAAACATATGGACTGGAATCTCAAAAGAATTTGGAGAACAGGAAATTATGTATCTAGTATTGTTTTCTAGTAAGTCTTTTAGAACTATTTGTCTATATTTGTGTAAGTATAACTTTGGTGAAATTAAAAAAGTAAATAAAAATTTTAAAAGTGTAAATGAAAGATAAGGAAAGATATGTAAACAACCCAAGAAGTATGGCTGTGAAGGGGAGCCAACGGACATAGAACAGCAGAGAGAAATGTAGGACCATGGGAGCAAAGATTTAAGCTTTAAACTACCAGCAACTCATATAAAGTGTTTACTATGCACCAGGCACTCCTAAGTGCTATATACACGTATTAACTAATCTATTACTAGTGGGAGCATCAACCCAATTTTCTAAATAGGGTAACTGAGGCTTAGAAAAGTTAAATAACTTTCCCAAAGCCACACAACTAGTAAATGAAAAACTAGGGAATCTCAGCTGGCTGTATGGTCCCCAGGCACTATGCTACACCATGGGGGAATGCTGGTGGGAATTTTTTCAGTAGAAAGGTTAAAGTGACATAGGAGAAAAGGCTGCAGAGACTGAGTTCACGATATGAGATCCAGAGCACATGTACATGATAGAATTTTACAGGAAGAACATGTGCTCTATTGTACCAAAAAGAAGAAAATGAATATAATGGAAGGTAGGTTTGTAAATTTGGTGACGGAAACAGCCTGGCTGCTGTTTTCTTACTAAATATTTTTAAAACTTTGGCAAAATGATTATCTGAAAGTGAAAAGGGTAAAAGAGAGGTGGAAGGTTTGAGGAAAGAGGAGAAAGAGTGGCCTCAGACTTAGGAAGTTCGGCTTCCTAAAGAATCGTGGCAATTGTCAGGCAGTTACTTGTGAATCTTACTGGTACCAATCTACTGTCATGTGATCAACACAGAGGTGTTGGTGGCTCAGGGGAACCCAATAATATCAAATCAAAAGTGAGAGCAGGAAATGCTGGTATATGGAGCAGAAAGTTAAAGATGATGTTTCTGGTAACCATGGCAACAGCAAGTAGAAGATAGTCACAGTTTCATTAGTTATTTTTTTCTTCTTGTTTTTTTTTTTCAGAGACAGTTTCATGTAGAAAAGCAGATACATATTCAAGAGAGAACAAAGGCTAGCTCAAGGGAGAGATGTCTTTTGGAGTCAAGTAAAAAATATATATTCAAGGGAATATGCCAGTCATCTTAACAGCAAGAGGCTTTAGGGGTGAAGCAAGGGAGAATGTGGGCCAACTCTAGAGAAAGAGACAGCCGTGGTCTCATCAGTTCACCTCTGTTATGGCTATTGCCTTGTTGATTCTGTCCTGTGACCCTGTCTACTGCTAAGATGAGTCATTATAGCAAATAAATATTAATAAATTCACACTGATGGAGTATTTTATGCAAACTATATATAAAGAGTGGTTCAAGAAATAACAAATTTAGGAAGCGAAAGATTTATTAGATTGGCAATTTCAATAAGCAGTTCTGTATAGAGCCTTAGACACTTGCTAGGAGACCAGTGGTGTTTCCGGGGATTTCCACTCTTTGAATACTTGCTATAAGCTAAGCTTCTTTGCAAGTACTATTAAACATATTTCTTATGTACTAATCAATTTTTAGATATCCATAACAATGAAGAACATAAAGCATGCTAGAAGCCCATTAAGAAAGATAAAATCAGTCAACTTCTTACAGGATATGTGTTGTAAATCATTATGATGTACAGCATCATCAGCTAAAGGCCTTTCTTTGTAAGTATCTCAGACTCACAGGGATTGTTATGATTTGAATATGGAGGATATGGATCAAAACATTGCCCTAGAGGATATGAAATGGTTCAACCACTTTGGAAAAGAGTTTAGTGATTTCTTATAAAGTTAAAAATATACATACAATGCACTCTCACACTTCCAGTTATTTCCTCAGGTGGAATGCAGCATGTACATACACAAAGACCTCTATGCTTTATTCAAATTTAGGGAAAAAACAATAAAATTCTAGTAGTACATGGATAATCTACCATTACAATCTCAAAAGAATGGATTTTTAAAAGGCAAGTTTGTTAAAGACTTAAATTGCCAAAAAGCTATCATTGTTTTTGGCCTTATATATAATTATTAGAAGAATTATACATACAAAAACATAGTGCCCTTCATGAGTTCAAAATTTACAGGAAGAGAGAGGACAGTTATATCCTAGAGGGTTAAACCTAGAAATACGTCCTTGTGTTAAGAGATTACAGCATATTACAGGGACACAGCCACATCAATGTTTATAGCAGCACACTTTACAATAGCTAAACTGTGGAGCCAACCTAGATGCCCTTCAGTGGATGAATGGATTAAAAAAATGTAGTATATATATATATATATATATATATATATACATGATGGAATTTTACTCAGCAATAAAAGAGAATAAATCATGGCATTTGCAGGTAAATGGATGGCGCTGGAGAAGATAATGCTAAGTGAAGTTAGCCAACCCAAAAAAAACAAATGCTGAATGTTTTCTCTGATATAAGGAGGCTGACTCATGGTGGGGTAGGGAGGGGGAACATGGGAGGAATAGATGAATTCTAGATAGGACAGAGGGGTAGGAGGGAAAGGGAGGGGGCAGGGGATTAGCAAGGATGGTGGAATGTGATAGACATCATCATCCAAAGTACATGTATGAAGACATGAATTGGTGTCAACATATTTTATATACAATCAGAGATATGAAAAATTGTGCTGAATATGTGTAATAAGAATTGTAATACATTCCACTGTCATTTCTTTTTTAAAAAATTAATTAAAAATTTTAAAGAGAGATTATAGTGAAATAATACCTAATATCCTATTCCAAAAGAAGGTGGTGCTTGAGCTGAACTTTGAAGGAAGGATAGACAAAGCTAGAAGGATAAGGATGGGAAACAAAGGATATAGCATGTTGGAGGTCCAAAAGCATGAAATCATGGGAGTTTCAGAAAAATTGGGTGTGGACATAGTAAAGAATACAAACGAAAAAAATGTGATAGGACACACATGTAGGGCAAGCTCACGAAAAATCCCTTTATGCCATAATTGGGACTTGGAATTTCCTACTGAATGCTCTGAAGACTCATGAAAGTATTTTAAGGAGAGGAATAACTGATGTGTATCTACAAAAATGGAAGATGCGTAGCAAGCGATTTCTCTTCCATCTTTAATGGTCCATGATCCTACAAATAGTGAAGTCCTGAACCAGAGTAGAGAGAATGAAGGTTGGAAACAGACTTGAGAGCTATCTCACAGGAGATACTCAAGGATGGCTGTGAATTGTCACACCTAGTTGAGAACAGGTATGATGCAGTTAGCTGACATTGGAGAGAGAACAAAGGACACTTTTCAGTGGTTTGGACATGGAAGACACAAGTTCAATTTTGAACATATTAAGGTTCGATGTTCCTAACCAACTCTTTGATGCTAATGGGTTATCTCAGCCCTCAAACTTTCACATGCTTTGGGAAGAAAAGGACATCCTCCAAATTTCTGTAGTAGGTAGGTCAAAGAAATACTACTTTTAAAAAGAAATAGAAAAAATGAAGCACGCCTCAGAAATTACTTAATGAGTAAGTAATGTCTGAACTTCTTCATCCAACTCTACTTAATTATATCCTTTAGTTCCTATTTAATTACTTTAGGCTTAGTATTAATATTACTCTGGTGAAAGCTGGGTGATCTATTGTATGAGTTAATCTGGTCTATCAAACCTTTGATATATAGCCAAGTTATAATTACCCTCATCTGAATCCTTATCTAGTCATGTTCTCTTTAAAGCCAGCTCTTGGTTTCCTAGTCCCTACTTGGATAATAAACCTTTTGTCCTCAGTATTTTAAGAGGTTACCCTCTGAGCCCCAGTACATAGTACCCTAAACAGAGAAGCCACTAAGTGTTTTCTAAGGATGGTGACTGCATGCATTCAAAGTAATTTCATTTTTCCTTTGGAGAGGAAAGGGAGAAGACACTAATAGATGTGACTATAATAGGAATAAGAATCATGGATGGTTTGAATGCTGGTCCACAACTATTTCTCCCAGTTCAACTTTGTAAGGAACCCAAAGAGGCAAGATTGAACAATTACTGTCTGTGGTGTATTTTGGTTTTGAAGTGGTGTGTATATGTGTGTGTTTGCACACATGCATACACTTGGATGGGGAAGTGAGAGCCACACTGGGGAGGCCATGCTGAGGATGGAATCAGAAAGGAGCTTCTGACAACAAAGGAGATGACTGCACAGCAGAGGCCCTCAAGGGTGGAGGAGGGGTGTGGAAATCGCTGACTCAGGTGAGCTGAGCTGTAATTAGACTTCAGAGTCGGGTCATCAAATGTGAATTCATACACATAGAGCAATAACTCAAATTGCTCCTCAAATGATGACCTACATCGGGAGGGAGTCATTCTTCCAGATATTTCTGACTTTGAAAGTCCTCCCTCTTCTGTAGTTCAGGCCACCTTCCCAATTCTCTTGAAACCTTAAGAGACTTCATCTTTTTCCAAGTCAAAATAAAGCAAAGCAAAAACAAGATCAATTCCAAGGAAAACATTTAAGAACATGAAGTGTGGGAAGCACTAAGGCAGGACTGGGATTTCTTTCAGTTAAGATGTATGTGTGCTTTGAAGGACAGAGGGAGGAGCTAAGGTTGTTAAGTATCTTTGGCTTTGGCTTGAACAGAGTTAAGTACAGTGGCTTTGTGTTATGGTATCTGAAATATTTCATAATTATTGAAAGGAAATTTCTGAAGGGAAAAAGAAAAAAGAAGGGTTATTCTGTTTGTGTCCCTGCTTCTACCTGGGAAAAGATGGAAGGCCCTATTATTATCCTAATTTTATTATAAACTGCAAAACTATGTCTGTTCACAGACGGTGCCTACTCTCCTCTTTTAAGTTAATGCTCACAAGTCAATTTTTTTTTTCTTTTAGCAAATGTTCAAATCACACACCTATGAAGCTGGATCAACTTCAGTGACTCCATCCTTGGGTGTAACTCTAGTGGTATTTAAATTCTGATTTGGAGATGCCCTTCCTGTTTTGCTAGTATTATGACATCACACATGTTTGAATGACATATCAGGAAGCAAACCACAGCCCTGGAGTGCTCAGGCAGCTCTGCTGTCCCGTCTGCTGCAAAGGTGTTGAGTATCCCAGGCTTCCTCCACCTTCCTTCCTACTCAAAGTCTTGCCTGCCTCTCCTTCACCTTGGCCCAGGATCATTGCACATCTTATTTCCTACCCAACTATGATCACAGGAAGAGAAAAGATGAAAGCCATGTGTCATCTTCTTATTAAACATGTGAATAGTTAAATCATAAATGAAATAGGAAAGGATAAATTTAAGTGGTAGTATTAGATCAGAAAACTGTATATTTTATGTTTACCACTTGGGTTTTCTCCAAAATAGAGACAGATTGGCACCATACTGATAAATAGCAACCCTGAGGTCATATTGCCTGAATTAAAATCCCTGCTCCAACACTTCTTAGCAACATGGCCTTGGGCAAGTTATTTAACCTCCCTGTGAAATCTACATAGTAATAAATAGTGCCTACCTTTTGAGGTTGAAACAAAAATTAAAAGAAATTATTCATGAGAATACTTTGCATGATATTTAGCATACAAGAGCTGACAATTATCATGTGCATCAATCTTAATTTTTCTTCCAGCCCTTGTAATGCTAGTAAGCAAAATACCTTAAAAACTCATGGGTATTTGAGATGACCTACACCTAGGAAAGATCAGCTCTGGGCAAAAACCACATCTGGGAGAGTGGCCTCCACACCTGGAGGAAGAGTTCCTCCTGAAAGCAGTGGATTCTCCTAGCTACTCTCTTCACCCTACAGGTGCCAAAAACCTGCCCATGAAGTGAGACAGGAGTTGCTAAAAAGGTTGGTAGCTTAGTTTGTTTTTATTTAATATCCATTTCCATCTTCCGTGAGCAGCCCAAAGAAACCAGGGACCCAAATAACAGAGTTCCAGTTCTCTCCTCTTAAGCTGCCAGGACACTTTTTCATCAGCACAGGGACCTCAAGGGAGAAAAATGGTTCCATTTCCCCCAGAAAGAAAGGAGGCCAAGGGGGTTGTTGGCAAGTGTGGGGGCATTGGTGGCTCAACTACAGCATCCCTGCTCAGTGGACCCGGAGTTGCTAACTTTATGGGCTGCTAGGAAAAGGCTTGAGACAAAAGTGATCATGAGCAGTTCTGAAAGCTAGTAGCAAAACTAGTCATTAAGAGTTTTATCCTGAAGAATTCAGGGGAATACTTCTCCAGGTGAAAGTTGGGAGGAAGGACAGGAAACCAAGAGTTAAACAGGACCACAGAAAGCACACTGGCCAGGGGGACGGCCCGTGTTTCTTTATATCAAGATTAAAAGTTATAGTTCTTCAGCCTCCCTGCCAACTCTCTTTTCTCTACTTTCCTCCATGCTTAGCTCAAACTGACTCCAGCTCCTCCACCTTCCAGACCTCCCCCGCCCTTTTTTCTTTTTAATGACTCTTTACTGGCTCTAAATGTTAGGGGGATGGGAGGGAGCAAGGGACAGCAGGATGCGATTGGCTAAGTGAGACCAGCTCCGCCCTGATCATTCCCACCCACACCCTCCCTGGAGAAACAGCTGGAATGAGAAGTAGGGAGGGAAGCTAGGATTGGCTGAGAGTCAGCGGCTGGGTGTGGTGAGGCAGCAGGGATGAAGCATTTACCTGGGTAGGTAAGTCAGGAGGAGGTCAAAAGAAGAAAACAGTAGGAGGCAGGGAAGCAGTGTCTGTCTCCATCTCTGCCCTTTGAAATAAAAGGGTATCCTTTCCTCCCTCAGCCCCCCCCCCACCGACCCAGTGAAGGTGAGTGACTCACTAACCAACTTTGCTTATTCTGCAGCAAAAGGAGGGGTTTCAGGAGAAGTCAGAGCTACATGGTTTCTGGGAGAAGTGGGGTGCCTCTCCACACCCCAACTAAAGGATTCCTCCTGTGTTCAATTCTCTGAGTCCAGCCTGGGATCAGAGCAGGACAGTAGCTGAGATTTAAGTACTTAGACCAGGACCAGGAAAGCCTTTTCATTTATTTAGGTTGGGTAAGCATATTGTACAAACAAGAAAAGAAAATAGACTTGTTTTGGAAATTTTCATCTCTGAGCAATTGAGATTGAGGTGTGATTTTGAAAGAGAAAAGTTTGAGCAGAAGAAGTTTAAACGGGGTTCACTCGGGTGAGTAGAGTGCCTTGGTTTTCCATTGCATTTCTAACTGGAAACTCTCCCATGGCTTTACCAACTCAGTGTCTATCTGTATTTAAATAAAGTGTGCAGTGTGTATATGTTCGATCATAGAGGTTGATAATGGAGTTCTTGCTGGACAGGTGTGTAAGGTATGGACTGTGCTAGGTTGTTTGTAAGGACTTGTGATATCAGAAAAACCTTAAAATGTGCTACCAGTTCAATTCATCTTTGGAAAACCCACCAATAATCTAGCTACAGAGTCAAGTTTATTTGGGTTCAACTCATTACTTTTCCAACTTTTCCTATTAGTAGATACAGACACTGGCAAACAGAAAGCTACTGGGCTGTGCCAGGGCCGCGCCCACATTGATATTTCACGGCTGCATGTTGAGTCTGGTCAGAGTTCCAAGTGGGGCTCAGGCCAAGATAGTGTGGCAAAGTCCCTAAAGAGGAGAACTAGACTAGGGCAGCGGTTTTTCATTATGTTCCTTCAGGTGTCCCAGGTGGCCCTTGTGTGGCAGGGGTACCTGCTTAAGGAAGCTGGCTGTAGAAGAAGAGTCCGAGTAGCAAGTCAGCGTTCCATTTTCCACGTTGGAGGTTAACACTTTGGTCCCTAACTTTGCCTCTTTTCCTCCTGTGCAGTGGAAAGACCTCAGGGACAGGATCCCAGGGCCTGGTGCACACAGTACTCAAAGGGGTTTCAAGGGGTCAATGGAACTTTAGGTGTTAGCTTCCCCCATACCACAGAAAGAGCCCACCACACCAGCTGCCTGAGGACTGCCTGTGATGGGGAACTTGTCAGCAGAGAAGGTCACCTGCTGTGTCTAATAAGGCCCTTCTGCACAAAGGGTATTTCTATCCATCTTTTCCCGTATATCACTGGTGAAAAAGAGATTCTAATGTTTCCTGGCACTCACAGAAACGTGTCCTCGTGCTTGTAGAGAGGGAGACAACACAGTGCAAATTTCAGTCTTCCTACAATATTTCTTAGGAAGTTCTCCAGCCCAAGGCACATTTCTAGGTAGTCAGCAAAAACCTCTCTGACTACTGAGAAGAGAGGCTGAGCTCTTGGAGGATATGGGGTGGGGTTCATGGAAGGGGCTGATAAGCGGGGTTTGGGTCTGTTCAGAAAGTCTCTTCCAGTGAACTTAGACTGGGACTGGAGCCCTCTCCCTCCGCACAGGCTTCAGATGCCAGAGTGCCACATGCAGTTTATTTACTCTTGTCCAAGACTTGGCTAGTTTCAGTGGAGTGGTTAATATTTAATGTGCCTTCGGATGGGTGGCTCTGACTATAGGCTGTGCATATTTCCCAGCCCGTTCCCCCCTCCTCTTAAGTCCCCCAAAGAGGTCAAGGGTGAAAAGACACTACACTCTCACCTTGACTGCTGTGCTTGTTTCTCAGGTTTCTTATCTGGCAGAAATACCTCCAGTTTCGATGGCTACCCTGATATAGCCCTCAAGTTTCAAGGTTATGGAGTTGGTAGAAGGAAATGCTGTATGTGGGTTGGGCAAAGCCAGTGAGGGGGGACGGAAAGATGGGAAGAATACTGCTCAAACTCTTTGGGTCAGAAAGCTCGGTATAGAGATGAGGTGTCAGCACCTGTGGGCTCACTCAGCTTGGTTTCAAGTTCACATCATCTCTTCAGAGATTGATTAATACGGTGCCCAATGACATGATCTTCCCTGGCATTTAGCGTCATTTCTTTGCACATCCCCCTGCCCACCCCCACCCCCTGAAGAATGTAGGTTTGGGTGAGTGCTCTCTGAACCTGGACAGTCATTAAAGGTGTGTGGCTGGGATGACTGAACTTCATCTACATGATTTCTCACATGCCTGTTTCTTTGAGGTGCTAACTTCACGAAGAAACCCTCCCCGTACTGGAGATTAAACTCAGGGGCTGAGCTACATCCCCAACCTTTTAAAATATATTTTATTTTGAGACAGGGTCTCACTAAATTTCTCAGGGACTGGCTTTGACTTGCAATTCTCTTGCCTCAGCCTTCTGAGTCTCTAGGATTGCAGGAGTGTGCCACCACACCCATCTAGTGTCATTTCTTTACTCCGGAAATATGTATCTGCTGCTAGGTCAATAAACTGTCCTGGAAATATAGGTCTGAACCAGAAAATGCACAGATATGAAATAAATGAAGAGATGCCAATCCTGTCTTTAGTATTCAGTCAGGAGTGATCAATGACCCCTCTTTAGGTGCAAATCCTCTGGCAACTTGGCTGTCCCTGAGAGCCCTCTGGGGGGGCCCAGATCCATAGCTGTCCTGAATATGTAGCTCTGGGTTTTTTACCATTTTTCTTGGTAAGAGATAGTGGGAGGAGCCCCAGGTTTCACACCTGTGAAATGAAGAAAATGTCACCAACTGTCTCAGTTACCAGGTTATTCTGAAGGTCTAATGAGCACATCTGGGAGCACTTTGGAGTAGCGTGCCAAGTTCTTGCTGAGCAAGACTATTCCTACTCTTCAGGGTCTGCAGTGTGAGCGCGAAAGGCCTCCCTGGGAAGAAGGAAACCTGGTGACCCACTGCAAAGCCTGAAGCATACTTGGAAGATCAAGGGTAGCAATTTTCTCTGAAAGTAAGAGGCAGCATCTGCTCATTCATTCAGAGAGAAAATTACATTAATTATAGTGAATCACCTTAAATATTTATTGCCCCAATTTTACATATAAAAAAACTGAAGCCCCAAACCAGACCCTTGGATCAACACTGACTTCTTAAAAACAATGCTTTTGTCTTATTCTGTTTTATACCCCCGCTGCCTATTAGGTGCTCATAAATATTAATTTAACTTAAAACATTGCCCAAATTCCACTAAGCCATATATTCTCTGTGATATAAAATATTTAAGAATAATTTTACAGGAGTAGATTAGAAGCCAAGGAGAAACCTCCCAACAGTTCAACCCAACAGACACCAGGACACATGGCAAGCATTTTTTGAGTGCCTCCTATGTGCCTAAAGCGTATGAGAGATGGGTTCCCTTTGCTGTAACAGCCTCAACCCTGAAGAATGTAGGTATGGGTGAGTGCTCTCTGAACCTGGACAGTCATTAATGGTGTGTGGCTGGGATGACTGAACTTCATCCCCATGATTTCTCACATGCCTTTTTCTTTGAGGTTCTAACCTCACAAAGAAACCCTAAAAGCCATCTCTACCATCTAAATGTTAATTTATCATTGGGTTTCCTGGGTGTCTCTGACTCACTGTTCCCCTCCTTATCTTCTGAGAGAGACTGTGGACCTTTATGAACCCCAGGTGTCTGGCTCTTTGGGGATCTTCCCTCTTCTTTCTACAGTGTTCTGCCCCTCCCTCCCTTCCAAGAGTAGCTCCATGCAGCCTTATACTTGCCAGCTCTCACGGGTTAGAAGGCTGATTCACCCAACCCTGCCCAAACCTCACACTGGTACTGGAAGCTACTACTGGTAGAAGTCAAAGGGATATCTGCCTGGCTTCCAAATCCTGAGTCCTCACATCTCCTAGAGAATACATTTTTCTAAGGTGCTTTATCTAGTATCTTGGGAAAAGTAGACGAGGTCATTAAAATAGAGCATGGTTTTATGGGCAAAATATGGATCCCGAATTGGATAAACTTTATTGTAATTCTAAGTTCTCCCCCAACTTCTTGTTGGACCTTGAAACTGTTCTTTGATCACAATTGCTTTAGAATTTAATTTAACAAGACAGTCACCCTTGGCCTGCCCGATTCTATTTCCCACAAGCACTGACTTCAGTAGGAAAACAACACTGACTTCCTTTGATACTACTATTGTCACAATGAACTTGAAATTTTTTTCCCCTAAGGAGCTGAAGTCAAGATGAAGCTATATAGAACTTTTCTCTTGTTCCTCTGACAGCTAGGGAATTTTATTGGGAATATATACAATGATGGAGGAGGAGATGCACAGGAGGGAAATTAGGTTTGTGTCAATCACCGCAGGTGCCAAGCTCATTTCTCAGAGGCTAGAGAGATGATGATAGCCATCATAGCGGTGGCTGTAATGACGCTGATGAAGTTGACCTTGACAGCAGTTGACAGCAGGCCCTGCAATTCACAAAGTGTTTTACAGGGAGTTTTTCATTACATTATATTCTCAAAGTGACTAAAAAGCAAGTTCAATTAAGGGCCCTGTTTTTTTTTTTTCTCTCAAGTCTATATTTAAGCAGAACCCTTCTTTTCCAAGTTCTTACTTCCCTTGTTTCACTTTAATTTGGTCCTAGATGTATCTTGCCTTTTTCTTATTACAAGAACAATAGTAGTTATTTATTTTGTTCATTAAGTGTTTGAGTATTTACTTACCAACTAAACTGTGCTCTTCTCTCATTTAATCCTTATGTTATTCAATGAGGTATTACAAATGTTATTACAAAGAGTAATTTGCTTCAGGTAAAATAACTCTAAATAGTTCAATTGGAATTTGAACCCAGGCCCAACTACCTCCACAGCCCAATCGATTAAACCTTGTAGTATTTATTGTTTATATTAAAGACAATGTAGGTGAAGCTCCCTGGTTAGGAGGAAAATGGTAACTCAGAAGTGATAGAAGCTGCTTTCTGACTAGACTGCCTCTCTACCACCTAAGTCTGTCCCTGTGCATGTTTTTGAGCCAGGTCCCACGTCCTTCCATGCAGGCTGCGGGCGTGGAGGCACGCCCTCCAAGGCCCCCTTCCTGTTCTCTGCTTGCTTGACGTCTTCGCAGCCATGCTGCCCTGGGGCCTGGGCAGAGCCTCGCAGAAGCCTTGGCTCACAGTGGCTTTGATTCTTCTCTTTTCAGGCCCAGCTTGGGACATTCTTCGCTTCTCTTCGCTTCCCCTCTGGGAGTCCCTTTCACCATCCCTGCACCTTGCTTCGGGCGATGCCCGAGAGGGAGCTGTGGCCAGCAAGGCCTGGCTCGGAACCCGTGACCTGCATCCGCAGCTGCGACAGCATGATGAGCGCCACCTCCACCCGCTCGGGATCTGTATGTACTCTCGCGTCTGCTGGCTGGCCCGCTCTCTGCACGCCTGCTCCGCCCTGCCTGTCCTGCCCTGCCACCCTCCTTGCCACCGCACCTTCTCTTTCATCTTCCTTGTCAGCAAGTGAATCACCACATCGCTGGGTGCTTTCTGCCTGAGTCACCCTTGGTTCTATAGAGCACGGGGTGGGACAGCATCAGAGAATGATAGGATCAATGAGAACCCCGTCTAGTCCCCAGCTTTCTTTAGGTTGAGGAGTTCAACTGCGGAGTTCCTAGCAGGCCTAGGAACCAAGGTCATGGTGGAAACTAGAACACAGATCCTTGCAGCACATGGGTTCATGGAGTTGTCTGCAACAAAGGGCATTACTTCAGTCTTCTAGGGAGATGGAAAAGAGTGTGGGGCTGTAGCTCAGAGGCCTTTGCCTAGCACCTGTGGGGCCCTGGGTTCTATCCTCAGCACCACACAAAAATAAGCAAATAAAATGAGGGCATTCAGTCCATCTACAACTACAAAAACGTTTTTAAAAATCTTTAAAAAAAAAAAAAAAGAATGGAGTAATTGGGAGTCTTAAGTTTTATAGCCAGAGCGATCTGGATTCTCTAGTTATGTGACCTCAAGCAAATTACTTAATTTTCCTAAGCCCCAGTCTCCTCAGTTTTAAAATGGGAATAATATTAACACCTAACTCACTGGAGTCTTAGAGGAAGTAAATTAGCATTTAGCATTTAGCACTTGTCTCTGTGTAGAAAAGCCCATCTAGGAGAGACTGAGACACTTTGAAAATCACCGTTCAGCTATTTGTGAGTGGCATGTAACAAATTATAATTTGGGGAAGCATGAATTTAAATCTCAGTTGTAAGGCTTGTGTGAAAGTGTCCATCTGCCCTACATCCAAATGTAAGCATCTCTTTCTTGTTCATTGTCACATGCATAATAACCCAGAGAATTTAGATTGTATTGCTTCATATTTTATAGAGGTCTTTGAAAATGTAAAGATCATAAGTATCTCTACAGAATGCCAAGGATGTTTAATATAGTTAATGGGTTTTAATATGTAAAATGGAGCAGATAAAGCAACACAAAGACACACACACACACACACACACACACAATGCAAACAACCTATGCAAGATTTTTTTGTGATCCCAGAGGATGGGGACAGGGAGATATCATCCTGTTCCTGATAGACTGAAGCCAGTATGAGTAGTTGTCACATTCCATTGGACACAGAATGTGTCAGGGATTCCAGGTTTTCAGAGTGAATCACCCACAAAGGAGAAATTAAGAGTTGGCTTATCCCGACAAGGTTATTTTAGAAGAAAAAGACAGTAAAGAAGATCTTTGTTCCAGTAACTTCAAGGGCTATATTTGGGGCTTCCCTTGACATGCAGGCCCCAGACGGTCATCAGACAGATGACTTTAAGGGCAGAGGCAACTGGAAGGGTTATTTAATCATCCTGTCTTCCCTGCAGGATATTTTTAGGGTAATCTTAAAATCTTCCTTGGCCATCTGAGGGGATCTGAGAATATACAACTCTGAGATGTCCCAAATTCCAGGAGGACAGATGGAGAGGCCAAGAAAAGTCTTAGGACATTTCCACTTGTCCTTTTGGTTTTTTCCTTTAACCTCCTTGTTTGAAGAGCAACTAGTTCATCAAACTTCCTGGTTTAGTACAGCATGGGTAGAACCATCAGAGATGGCATAGTATCATCCTCCAAATATCCCTATGTGCTTTCTCACAACATAAATGATCCATTTTATGTCTATTTAGTTGCTTTCCCTTCCTACCTAATCAACCAGTTTCTCCACCCACCCTGATTAAGTTAATATTTGGTTAAGAAATGCATACTTATTTGAATATTAGCCAGAGCCAAATGCCATCAAGAAAGTAAATTTATAAGGGGGAAAGAATCCAACATGGAACATATTTCAAAGTCAAGTGTAAAGTATTTAGTAAGCTTATCTGTGGCTAGTCATGCCACTGTTCCCCTTGGCCTGGCAGCCAGTACTTGGCTGCATTTCCTGTTTGTCTTCATATTGTCCTTGACATACCAGATCAAGTATGCAGAAGTATTTTAAAAAGTTAAAAGTAATACCATTCGAGTTTCAGGTCAAATCATTTCATTGTGCATATAATCTAGAGTTAAATTAGAGAAACTGAAATACTTGACAAAGGTCACACAGAATTGAAATCAGAACTTGAACTGCTTCTGATCTGTGCCCAGAAGCATTCCACCCAGGACCAAGCAAAAGAAAGCACCCTTGCCATCAGCCTGCCCAGCCACCAGATCTGGGTGCTGCAGGGGCCCCAGCCTGGCAATGTCTATCCTCCCTGGTGCCTGAAAATGTAGGAAACAACTCCATTGAGTTTGCAGAGTTGCACCAGCCACCAGCAAGAGCATCTTCTTTCCCCACAGCAGGGTGGTTCTCAGTCCCCACCAGTTTCTCCAGTGATAGCTCCCTCTCACACTCCCTCTCCCCTTCTGCAGAGTGACAGTAGCTACGACTTCCTGTCCGCAGAAGAGAAAGAGTGTCTGCTATTCCTGGAGGAGACCATTGGCTCATTGGACACTGAGGCCGACGGTGGACTCTCCACGGAGGAGTCTGAGCCAGCCACAACTCCCCGAGGTTTCCGGACACTGCCTGTCATACAGCCGGTTCCCCAGAGTAAGCCCATCCAATTGAGGGAGCACTTGTACCAACACCCAGAGAATCAGTGCCTCTTGGTCACTTCCCAGCTCCCCTGGCCTCTGTTCCCAGGCAGGAGGGACTCTGCACTTCTCACCACTCTCTTGGCCAGAATAAAGCCTTGTCCCTAGAGGGAAGGAGGGACTGCTGACAAGCCAGTCTTTTATGTCTTTCTGTGAAGTATCAGAGGCTGGGAGGGGAAGGGGTTTGGCTAGCTACTATCCTTTTGTGGCAAAATTCTAAAGAGATATGACCCCCAGGTGGAGGAGGGAATTCAGGGAAGGCTGGGTGGTTGGCTCTAGCCAGACTGAGTCATTCCAGGGAGCTAATCTGGACGACCCAGAGGACAGGGCCATAGGAGATAAGAAGAGGGAAGGACTCCCCAGCTGCAGTTGGTGGTACCTAGAAGCCCTTCTTGAAGAGGGCGGCATTCAGGCTCAGTAGAAAAGGACAGGACAGGAAGGCACATAAGCATGGGTCATATGTCCCAGAGTTTAGGGACTTTACTCTCAATGACAGTCCCATTGGTTTCAGGGTTACAATTATTTATTAATTTATTTATCGAATATTTATCGACAATGTGTTACACCCTCCCTGTAGATAGAGTAATAAATGGGCTGTGCCCCTTGCAGCACCTGAGGCACCTGCTGAGCTTGCAAGAAGGAAAGAGGTCATGTCACTCTGGTGCAGGACACTGTGCTATTATAGAATTGGCCAGGGGCTCATAGAAGGTGAAAGCAGAAGACAGACTGGTCAGATCAAGAGCAAATCACTTGTTCAAATATTTCCATTGGGCTCAGTTACCCAGGAGCCCCAAGATGACTAGAAGGAACCAATTCTAAATCCAACCTTGATTTTGATGTGTTTGAAGAAGGTTGGAGGAGCCTGAGTAAAGGATGTGGAGCAATCAGGGGTCAGCCTCTCCCCAGCCATCATGAAAAAATAATCCTCAGTCAAAAGGAATCTGCCGTTATTGATCTATTAGACTAGATGATTTCCAGACAAGAGTGGTGCCCTTTAAAAGCAAAAAAATAAAATAAAATAAAAAACGAAACCCATTCCTTGTTTAGTTGGAGAGCAGAGTTCAAGTATTTGTTTTCCCCTCTGCAGTACGGTTCTCACCTCTTTCCACTCTCTACCTGTTCTCCCTGACCCTCGCAGGAAACTCAGAGAAGACAATCATTCAGCAAGGACCAGAGCCAAGGAAGGTGACTCATTCCTCCTCATTCCGTCCCCCTGAGCCTTACAGCTTGGGCTTCAAGTCTGGCTCCTACAGCCTCCCCAGAAATATCCACATTGGCGGAAACCAGAACCTCAGGAAAAGCACCACCCAGACTAACAGCCACTTCCCTGGAGAATCTGAGGGACTCATAGCTAAACCTGAGAAAAAGCAGGCCAGCCAGAGCAGGGAGCCTGGCCAGGCACAAGCTAATCCCCTGGGGACTGCCCTTGACCTGGACGTGGTACTCATCCCCCCACCTGCAGCTTTCCAGGACGCCCAGCCAGAGCAGGGTAGGAAAGACAGCCTGCCCAAGGGGCCAGGAGAGCCTAGGCCCCAACTCCACCCACCATTCAGCCCCCTGGAGAGAGTGGAGGGGGATTCAGAGGCCATGTCCCACCCAGCCAGTGGGAAAGGTTCCACAGGGGCCTCAGGAAAGCCACAGCCTCCTCCTGCTGAGTTGTCTTGGAATGCCAGAGCTGAAGATGCTTCCCTCCCACCAGGGGCTGATCCAAATCCCAGAATGGCTCCCCTCACAGCCCCGAAGCCCCGGAAGCTGCCACCCAACATTGTTCTGAAGAGCAGCCGAAGCAGCTTCCACAGGGATCCCCAGAACAGGCTGTCCCGACACCATGAGGCTGGAGAATCTGGCCTGGTGTCCTCTTCACTGCAGGACCAAAGGAAAGCACGCAGAGAAGCACTGGAGAAGCTGGGGCTACCCCAGGACCCAGAGGAGCCCAGCCTCCCTTTGAGTAGGCCCACCAGCTCCATCAGACTCAAGGAGGCTCAGGGCCCCGATCCTTCTCCAGCCCCAGCTCCAGCTCCTATAGCTGCAATTGCTCCTGCTGCAGAGAAGATTCCAGCTCAGGGACCTTCCCCAATGAAGCCTCCAGCATCAGCTCTAGCTCAGGGGCCCTATCCAGGCAAGGTTTGGATTCCCACCCAGGAACCCTCTCTTGGGAAAGTTGCAGCTACCAAATCCACACCAATCCCTATCCCTAAGGCCCCAAAGGCAAATAGTGGCTTAACTCAGCCAAAGCCAGACTCAGGACTGACTCTCCGGGAGAGCAACATCCCTGGCCTGAGACAGATGAACTTCAAGTCCAACACTCTGGAGCGTTCGGGTGTGGGACTGAGCAGCTACCTCTCTGCTGAGAAAGACCCGAGTCCCAAAACCAGCACTTCCCTGGGAAAGGGTTCCTTCTTGGACAAGATCTCACCCAGTGTCTTGCGTAATTCTCGGCCCCGCCCTGCCTCCCTGGGCACTGGGAAGGACTTTGCAGGTATCCAGGTGGGCAAGCTGGCTGACCTGGATCAGGGCCAGAGCTCCAAGAGGCTGTCCTACCAAGGACAGAGCCGTGACAAGCTTCCTCGACCCCCTTGTGTCAGTGTCAAGATTTCCCCAAAGGGCGTCTCTGATGAACATAGGAGGGAGGCCTTGAAGAAGCTGGGGCTGCTGAAGGAGTAGGCCACCAGTGCCACCAAGATTAAACCAAGAGGAGAGACTGCGGGCTCCACTTAGGAGCCCTTGTGACCTCACGGCTTAGGGCTGGGGCAGCCATGGGCTCCTCTCACCGGTTCTGCACTCTTGGAGGCGAATGGGAAGGAGAGACTTTTGTTCAAGCATGTGTTGAATTCAGAGTGGTTGTGCCATTGACCATCTCTACAGATCATTCTGAAGAAGAAATAGACAAGGGCGGGGGGCATGTGCACGTGTATTTGGGGAAGCTGTACATATCACTGACACTCTTTATGTAACACAAAAAGGCATTGTTCAGAGTTCTGCTCTTGTTGAAAATTTTCTTACAATGGAGAAGGGAGGCCAGAAAAGTCAAATGAGATGATGGATATGCAAGTGATCTGAAAGAAGAGTTATAGTGGGGCTGGGGATATAGCTCAGTTGGCAGAGTGCTTGCCTCACATGCACAAGGCCCTGGGTTCAATCCCAGCAGCACCACCACCCCCCAAAAAGAAGAGTTATAATCTACACATAAAGGTTCACATGAATGTGGGCCTCCTAGAATCCCTGTGGGAAATGAGACTGGTTCATACCTTGTTGGATCCCTCTCTCAGTTCAGGCCTTCTGGACAAGGCCTTGAGCCTAGAGAAGTTGGTTTGTTATCTCTTCACCCACTGCCTTCTTAGTGTCACCAGTCCCACTGGAGGACCCCTCCCTGTGACTAAACCTCTTAGTTCACTGATAGCAGGACAGCTCTTGTCAGTCTTGAAGGCAGGATAAGAGGCCACACACTCATACCTCTGCCTGCACTGGTGAGAGTTCTTGTCAGTGGGCTTGAGAAATTCGATAATAAACTGTGCTGTGGTTCCATGACTCTGGTATTACGATGCTTCCTGCTCTCTTGCTCTTTATCTCACTCTGCACATGACCGACTAGAGGGCTGGTCAATACTGAGGTGGAAGCCCCAGCCCAGAGGTTTTATAAATACCACAGAACTATTTCAGATCTATGTTATTGTAGATCATTTTCAAATGTCCACAGTTCCAAGGATAAGAAATCAGCACAATACATAGAAAATTGGAGCTGAGAGGAATCTTAAGAAGAACTCCTATCCAACCCTGCTGGGGAAGGGCAGAGACTCATTCATGGTCACTCTGCATTTGGTAAACAGCTGAGTCAAGGACCTGGTGCTCCTGATTCCCATTCTCTGCTGCCTCCCTTAACCATGCTCTTGTACTTCCACGTACCACCTTAAAAGTCCATAATCACTTTCAAAGCCTGATCCCTAAGATCTTCAAGACCCTAGTGTCTTCTGAAGCAACCAGGACTAAATATTCAGGATATTTAGTGTTGTAGTTTTTATTCCACCTTCAGAAAGTGGTTATATAATAGCTCATTCTTAACCAGAACACCTCTTCCTGCAGATTCTCTGACCAAGCTGTACAATTTGAGCAAATGCCAAAAGAGGGTAATATGAGCAGGTGGTGTGGACTTGTGAATACAAGCTTGATTAGACATGGCTAGACATGACCCTCACTTCCCCTTAGGAAACACGTCTTATGCCTATGACTTGGTTGGAGTTCAGCATGACCAGGTGTGAGGGGTAGATAAAGGGACTGTTGTTGGAAAGGTGCCCTGAAGCTCTGCTGAGCATTTCTGGCCCGTGTCCTCAAAGACCCATCACTGTCAAACTCAGAATTTCTGAACATGATGAGAAGGTTAGGGTAAGGATAACAGATGGCTCCGCCCTGCCCTGGTATGTGGGGTGTGGGTGTGGCAGTTTCTATGTACACTTCTCATACACACTCACACCCAAAAGCCTGGTGCCTCATTCCTAGCCCTGAGTGAGGACCCATTCTGTCACAGCTGATGGGGACTCCCACACTAGCCAAGCTATATCTTATTACAGACTCCCATAAGGAGAGAGAGCCACCTTCTAGAGAAATGATTAGACATACTGGATTATTTTGAGCTGCTTCGTGTGTAAGTTTCAAGACACGACCTGAGGAATGATAGCTTTCTTCCTTATTCATTAATTACCTTGATTAATAGGGAAACATGAGACTAGCCATCAACTGAGACTTGGTGGGAATCCAGAGCCCTGGCATCAACACAATGCTAATCCACACTGGTTGGTCAGGACTACTACCTGTTTAGTTTCCACCCCTGGGAAATGAAACTTCTCTCCCAGACAAATCAGAGTTACAAACAGCCTGCACTCTGCCCATCAGCATCCTCATCCTAGTGGTGAGCTGGCTTCCCCAGTTTCATAATCTGAAAGACGCTTTTACCTGGTTATTTAAGGATACCATGCTCCTTACGTCCTTGTCCTTCAAAAAGTATATTCTGTTTTAAGGAAAGTCTTTGGAATTCAGGAATAAAACAATAAATCTAAATGAAGTCATCTCATTTTGAAGAGGAAAAAGGAGACCCAGTGAGGATGGATCTACCTCCCTGAGGGTGATGCTAGACCCACCTGAGGTGAGACCTGAGGTAATTGGGTCTGTTCTCTTGTGCTCGTATAGGATTTCTCTTCACTCAGCTTGGACTGGTTTGGTGGAAGGTGAGAATGGGTTTTGTTATTTTTTTTCAAAGGATTTTGGGAGGAAATTTGTAAAGACCATCAATTTGATCTTAAAAGCCAAAGTGATAGCTCTTGACCTTGGATTTCTTGGATTTCTGCTTTACAACACTATAGTCTTGCTGCTATTAGGCACAAACTATTCTCAGAATAAAGAAGTGATCACTCTTCAGCCTGGTGCAGTGGGATCTGTGTTTTCAGAGGTGTTATCAGCTGCTCCTCAGAGTCACCACTCCTGTGCTAATTTGGGAATTCTGCATTCTGACTCCAGGGTGGTGGCAAGGCCGACCTACAGGCCATCTTGCACTGAAGTTGGGACAGAGCCACTCACCTCTTACCTGCCTTCTTCCACAGAGGGAAGTGTGGTCTGGCAGAGTTCATCCTGTAATCTGGAGGGAGCAGGTGTGCAAACACTGCTGATTGTTTCATGGAAGGAAGGGCAGGTAAAAGATAGGAAAGTAGGTCCTAATTGATGTTCTAGGTTTAAGCTGGAGGAGAAGGTTGAAGAGTCTACAGAATGCACAAGTATGTGAGATGAACCCCTCTCTCTTTGGATCCCTGGTTGCCTATGTAGGCAAAGAAGGATAACACTATGCAAATATGAAACTACATCTCTTAGATTAGTGGAAGTGGAGACCAAGGGTGAGAAGGAGGAATCCTGAACGTATTTATCAGAAACTAAGAAGGAATACTCTTTTCCTCATGTGAATGACTATAAAGCGTACAACTCTAGACTCAAAGTCAACCTCCATCATGGGGCAATCAGGAGCCCTGGGAGAGATACTTTAACTTTTGAACTTCAGAATTCTCATCTGTGAAATGGAGGAAATACCACTGTTCTTTAAAGATTCTTGGGATGGAAAGGTGATATAAAATATGGCAAGCTCAGTACTTGGCACTTGGCTCCATAATTACAGTACTATCTTCAGGGACTTAGTCTTTCCTTCTCAAAGGGAGCAAACAGAGAGAGGGTTGGAAGCCAAGTATACACCCAATTCTGCTCTGAGAAGAAATAGAAGAGAGCTTGCTGCCTATAAAAGTCCAAAGTAACAACTAGTCTTTGGCACACCCTGCAGGTGACTCAACTTCACCCACGCCACGTTTCCGGAATTTGAATCTGATGTTTGTATCTTGGTGAGGATGAGCCCACTGCTTCCGTTTCTGAATTCTCAAACCCAGTTTCCCCTCAATTGTGTCTCATGCTTCTTATGAGCATATAGTTTGGTTCTTCAAGTTTTCCCTAACTTCCTTTTTGCTACGTGGTTCATGGAGCTATATGCTCTTCTATAGTTATTTATTTTTAGGAAAGAGGGGGAAAACTTACATAACAAGTGGGAACTTTTGCTAAAAGCAGAAAGTGATAGAAACTCTAAAAAAGGTTTCAAGATTCCTGGAGAAATTAAAAAAAAAATAGGGTAGACATCTTTCTGGATGAGGCATTATTTATCAGGATATCAAAGCCCATGGGATGGCCTCTCCACATCCTTCCTGGTGTGGTGACCCTGTGAATTGCTTGAGTCATCACTACCATCACTGACACTTAGCACACCAGTGAGGTAAAAAATGGTGACAGTCTGATTCCAGGCTGTTACTCTCTCTTGCTCATTACCTAGTTGAATCGTTGTCCCTGTTCACCACTTGCTCTGGATCCTGAGTTCAAAACTGTATGAAACACAATGGTATCCAGGCAGAGCTGCAGACCAGGTGAACTCTAGTAGATGATTTCATGTCACTCATAAAATGGGGGGGCTTGGAATGGACTATCTCCTAGATCCATGACATCCCTGGAATGTATGTTTCATGAGTCTAAATAAGTCAATTAGGAAGATCAACACCCTGCCCAAAATAACCACAATCCAGTCTAAGAAAGCTTATGTTTTATAATGCAACTCAAGCCCCCACTTAAAGAGAAAAATGGATGGATGGATGGATGGACTGATGGTGTTATGGTTTGGATATGAGACAAAAGCTCACATGTGAGACAGTGCAAGAAGGCTCAGAGGAGAAATGATTGGACTGTAAGAGTCTTAACCCAATCAGTGATTTAATCCCCTGATAGGAATTAACTGAGTGGTAACTGAAGTGGGTAGGGTGTGGCTGGAGGAGGTGGGAATTGGGGTGTGGCTTTGGGTATATATTTGTATCTGGCGAGTGGATGCTCTCTCCGCTTTCTGATTATCATGATGTGAGCTGCTTCCCTCTTCCACATTGTTCTGCCATGATGTTCAGCCTCACCTTGAACCTAGAGGAATGGACTCCACTGTCTATAGATTGAGACTTCTGAAACTGTGAGCCCTTAAATAAACTTTTCCTCCTCTACAATTGTTCTGGTTGGGTCTTTTGGTCACAGTGGCAAAATAGCTGACTAAAATGTATGTATGTATGTATGGATGGATGGATGGATGATGGACAGATAAAAGGAGACAGGAGAAAGATTGAGAACGTGGAGTAGCCAAGAGCATAGGCTTGGGAGGCAGGTTTCCAAGGTCTCTGTACCTTAGTTCCTTTCCCAGTTATTTCTTTGTTCTTCATTTATATTCTTTTTCTGAATAGTTCAGGGAACTATATGCTGTTCAATGATTATTGTTTATTATATTTTATTTCATTTTTTGGTACTGGCAATTGAACCCAGGGCCTTGTGCGTGCTAGAAAGGTGCTCTTCCACTGAGCTATGTCCCCAGCCCTTTTTATTTTATTTTGAGACAGGACCTCACTAAGTTGCTGAGGCTGGCTTCAAACTTGCAAACCTCCCTGAGAGCTGTAGTTACTACAGACCTATAGTGACATCTGACTATTTATTTTTTTAAATGGAGGAAAAATGAACTTAAATTATAACAGGATGAAACCCTATAAAGTAAGACAATAATAATACTTGTTTTAGTCAGTTTTGTCACTGTGACCAATTCACCTGACAAGAACAACTTAAAGGAGTAAAAGTGTATTTGGGGCTCACGGTTTCAGAGGTCTCAGTCCATAGACAGCCGACTCCATTCCTCCAGGCTCAAGGTGAGACAGAACAGTGAAGGAAGGGCCCAGTGAACGAAGGGTTCAGCTCCTGATAGGGTCAGGAAGGAGAGATAGAGAGGGAGAGATAGGTAGATAGATAGATAGATGGATGGATGGATGGATGGGAAGGGGTTATAGGGAAGATGCACCCTTCCAAAGCATGCGCCCAATGACCTTCTTCCTCCAGCCATACCTCACCTGCCTAGGATTGCAACCCAGTCAGTCCATTCAAACTAGGATGGACTGATTAGGTTACAGCTCTCATAATCTAATCATTTCACCTCTGAATAGGCCTGCATTAACAGGAGCTTTGGGGGGACACCTCATATCCTATATAAACACCCCATGCAGTTGTTCCAAGAATAGAAACAAAGTAGATAATCTATGTATAAAAACACTTAGCACACTGCTCAGTAATAATAGTTATTAATGTTGCTATCAACTACATATGTAATTTAGACTCCGACTCCCCACCCCCATATGAGGACTACATTAATCATAGCCTGCACCTAATTCCTCAAGCTGAAACAGTGGAGTGTTCCTCCAATTTGCAGACCCTCCTGCAGCCCACCTCCACCCAATTCTGTACTATCTACATCTGTGTGTGCTGCATTAGGACCTCCCCACAACAACCCCCTCACTATCCCTCCAGATTCAAAGCCCAGGCCTTTGACTGAGTCACTTGGGAAATGAAGTGACTTAACAGTATTTTGTTGTTTTCTGAGTTTTTTACTGAAGGTTGGGATGGGGGATGCCAAGGGACCTGTCACAACGACATGGCTCCCCTACACTGCCCTTCCTTTCTTCTCTCTTTCCATGCCAACTTGTCCCACAACCAGGAAATCCTTCTCACCTTCACCCACACTTGAAACCCTTTATCATCTGAGCCTTGGCCCAAGAGACTTTTCCAAAAATTCCTCATACATGAATACAGTTGACTGAGTGGAAACAGCAGTACCTCCTCACTGTCATTCTTGAAAGGGGGCAGGGAGCTGTGACACAAATTACCTGTGGCGTCCACACCTCCTCCAGCTCCCATCATGCTCTTCCTGAATGGTTGGGCAGATTCTGAGAGGCCAGCTCCTTGGGTGTGGAAAGATGTTTGTCATCTCCTCTCAGTGACTCTCCTGCCCCATCCTTTAGACACAGACTCCTCTGTATCAGCAGAGGCCCCAGGTGGGTCTTTGTGGGCTAAGGAAGATATCATTTGTTTGCAGTTAGTTCAAATACAGCATCATTAGCCTTTTGGCACCGTTAGAGCTCCAACCTCTGCCTTCTAGGGAGTCAGGAACCATCCTGTGCTTCTGACCCAGCTGCCTGGGAAGGAGCAACATCCAGTTGGTCCCCTGCCCTGCCAAGTGTCTGCTCTGTTCACTTCTGTCCAAGAAGAGGTCAGAATAGCTGCCCAGGTTTTGTCGCTGTTCTGCCTCATGGTGCTGGGACAGCCACCGGGGCTGTTGCACCCTCCTCTCCAGACCTAACGTCCAGAAGGCCAGAACAATGTTCTCTATTGGGGAAATTTCTCATCAAATCTTCCCTCTGTGCTCTATTCCTCAGCTGTCTGCTCGATGCGCAAAAAGTGTCTCGTACCCTTAGTCCAAACACAGACCCCCGTGGGGGACCTGCATGGGTTCACCAAAGTAGTCAGTCCATCAAGTCATGTAAATGTTACCTCCGGACTTCTCCCAGTCTCTCTCTCTCCCAGATGATTGTTCTCTTCACATCACCTCAGCCTGCTTCCATTTCTGTCTCCACCCAGCAACCACAAGGATATTTGCATCTATAGTGCATTACCTTTCCTGTAAGAAAAGGGGATATGAGAAAAAAAATATGGGAGTAAACCAAAACCAAATGTGATCAGTTCCCTACAATGGAGGAGAAGGGAAGCAGTGGGAAGAAAGTGGGGGGTCGGGGGTGGGCATAGAGAGAAGGGATCAGGGAGAACTACCTGTGTGTACCTTTTTATATGGTTCAAATCTGAAAGCCCTAGTAATGTTTTGCATACTCATTAAATAAGTAAATAAGCAAACAACTACCTGACATGTGCGTATAAGGAGAAGGGGAATCCAGAGAGTAACAAATCAACCTGTGTTAAGAATGAATGTCATCAGCCGGACACCATTGGCATATGCCTGTAATCTCAGTGAATCTGGAGGCTGAAGCAGGAGGATCCCAAATTCAAGGCCAAACTCTGGCCAATCTAGCAAGACCCTATTTCAAAACAAAAACAAAAACAAAATAAGGACTGTGGATATAGCTCAATGCTAGAGCACTCCTGGGTTTAATCCTCAGTACTACAAAAAAGAATTAAAAAAAAAAAAAAAGAAAATAGTGAATGACATCATCATACCAAAGGGGGTGGGAAAGAAAAGAGCAAATTTAAGTAATTTGGAGGGGGAAAAAAACATATTTTAAATGCATGCTTTAAAAAAAAGACATTCTATTTCATAAATGTTTCCACATGTACAGTTCAACAATTCTAAAACCACATTATGAGTATTACAAGAATAAGTAAGCAACTCTGTCATGGACAAAGAGAACTAGATTTATTACTTTAGGGGAAGAGAGTTATAAATTCAAAAGTGGAGACTGGACTGAACCCTCTAATACTGAACTGGAATCAGAGACATCTATCTATATGAACTCAATGGTTAGTTAGGTAATAGACAGTTAGATGATTGATAGATAAACATGGACAAAGATACTGGTGTGTATGTATATCTGTACTTTTCTTTCCTAGCTCTGTCCTCTTTCTGAGAGAGTCTGGGGGTAACGAAACCCCAGAAGGAATGAGCATACCTGGTACACAGGCCTTGATTTTCAATAGCATTTTCTACAAAAAGAAACTAGAAGTCTTTGGAGAATTACGTGGCCAGCCCAGAAAAAGACAAGATAGGCCTGAAATATCTTGTGATACCTAAAAGTAAGAAAATACTCAAAAAATAATGACAACATTTCAAAAGGACATAAAAACCAACACAAAGTTCTCTTGGTCAAATAAGGGAGAAGCTGATCAGTGAGATAACTGGCAGTTACGGATTATACTCCTTGGAATGAAAATAAATATTCATGGTTCCATACTGATGTAAATAAATAATTGAATAAATAACTAAATCAGGGAGAAGCAATAGTTATTCTGTACAAAACAATTCCAATAAAGGCAGAATGAATGACAGAGATAGAAGGATCACAGTTTGGCAAGCATCACAGTAATAATCATTGCAGGCAAGATTATGAATGGACATTGAAATGAACAGAAGAAAATATGATGAGATGTTGGCATCGTCTCAAAATCTCTCTCTCTACAAAATTCTTATTTATTACAGAGGGAAAAATGGAACTTTTGTAATGAAACAAACCTGGCAGACACAGTTGGACCAAGTGACCAAAGTTAACATCGCCAATTACAACCCATATGGACATCATGTACCTCCTATTACAGTGCGTAAAATTGCTTCAGTGAATTTCTTTCCAAAACTGCACAGCCTGACCTTAAATATGAGGAAACAACAGATAAACACTAAGAGTTGGTTCTTTAAAAAATGGGGGTCTTAAAAGATAAAGAAAGCCTTGAGGAATAATCACACATTGGAGAGGACAGTTAAATGCAAAGTAGCATCCTGGGTTGGATCTTGCACCAGAAAAGGACATTCCAATTTAATTTTTGCCGCAGTCTGGCTGGGCACAAATGCCGCAGTCTGGCTGGGCACACGATCACGAGCCACCACACAGCTTGTAGATTCAAACAGCAACTCTTTATTCCCGAACTCACACCAGCCATCTACAATCACGTTCTGGGGAAATCCACGTTCTCTTCCCAAATCCACCTTCTCTCCCAAATTCACCTCCACTGGGCTTCTATCTCCAAAATATACTGTCTGAATCCCGTGAGAACTCAAGGGGAACTCAGGCAGCAGGATACGCCCTATTCCCAGCAGGAATAATCTTAAACCTTAAACCTGGAACCTAAACTGGGAACGCCCTAAACAAGATTATCTTAAAACCGGGAACACCCTAATCTGCCTTGGTCCTTGAGCAAGGTCAAGTACATTCAATGTCACTGCAACATGGGGTACGCTGGCAAGGAAATTGTCATACTTACTTGGCTAATGGCTCCCAGCATCTCCCCCCTTCTGATTAATTAAACAACAAGCAATGTGGCTTAAGGACCGTGCCTGGTAGGTTGTCCAATTCAACATATGGTTCTTACCCGTCATCGGAAAACTGACCTTTAGGCGTCAGCCTCCTGTCTTAGGTTGATACCACTGCAATTGAATCATACCCGTCACTGACTACCGGTCCAGCATACAGCCATACTTGTGGATAGGTCTATGCACCAGTGGGGGGGTGAGGTTCTTTGCCTCACCTCTGTTGGCCCCCAAATTTGGCCTTGGTGCCAGTGGGGGAGTGAGGTTAATGTGGCTTAAGGACCGTGCCTGGTAGGTTGTCCAATTCAACATATGGTTCTTACCCGTCATCGGAAAACTGACCTTTAGGCGTCAGCCTCCTGTCTTAGGTTGATACCACTGCAATTGGATCATACCCGTCACTGACTACCGGTCCAGCATAAGCCATTGGCCCCCAAATTTTAGACCATCACTAGCAGAAGGGAGGAGGATACAGAAATGCCACGACACCAAGCCAATTGACGGCTCCTTGGGAAAAATTGCATCACTGGTGACACCATCAGCAAAGATATGTCAGCACTACCACAACTAACATGGGGTGCACTGGCAAGGAAATAAAAATTACATCACTGGTTAATCACTGTCGCAGATGTAAGAATGGCCAAGCTGGAGCTCTGGATATCAGCTGTTATGGATTTGAGTCAAATCATCTTCTTTTCCATCTGTAGAAACTGTTTTAGTTAATCTCTCTGGAATCCAAATGGGCTGCTGTTCTCCCTGTGGAAAAACACAAACAGACCCCCGACTCCAGACAATCACTGGGTCAGGACCTTTGCATTGTCCTGTTAGAATATCTTTCCAAAGTACTTTAGGCTTATGTACATTTTTTGGATACATATGCCTTTCCGCAGCACTAAGTCCTGATGAATCCAAATTTAAAAAGTTTAGAGTAAAAGGCGTTATTTTAAGTTTATCTTTGGGGGATATATACCCCTTTCCAATTCCCTCTTTTTTGCTTTAATAAGTATATGTCTGTATCTAATAGTTGTCTTAGCTTTTTGCATTTTCTATCTGTAATACCTTACTTGATATTTTCAACCATTTTTTATCTTATTTCTATCTTCTAGTTTTTTTCTAAGGTTTGTATATTTACCCTTAGTTGCTTAATTTCCTCCTAGTTTTTTTTTTCTTCCTATTTTGTGGGTTTAAAATTCTTGTCTTCCTACATTTTTTATCTTTCTACATCTTCTTTATCTTTATTCTTTTTAACTTTCTATACTTCTATCTTTAAAGTTTTTCACTTTAAATTTTTAATCTTCTTTATCTAAATATCTTTTATCCTATTATCTTCCGATTTTTTTTAAAGTAATGCCTTTAAGATTAAGCTTCTTTCCTCCATCATGAAGGCATTTTAACCATCTTCAATTTAACCTTTTAAAGCCTTTTACTTATCATCTATACTGTACTTTTAAATGTACTTTTTCATCACCTACAGCTTCACTCTTTTAAAAGAGGCTTAGATTTTGTTTAAATCGCTTCAATGTTAGTTTACATGGCTGCCCTTCAACCAAAGGCTTCTTTTTTTAACTCCATTGAGAAGCTTTGTCTCAATCTGCCATGTACAAATACCTTTTTCTTCTTTCTTCCTTTCTCAAGCTTTTAAAGTAAGTCTAGTTTCCTCAAATTCTTTTTAAATGGCATTTACAACTTTTTACTTTACCACACAGAGATTATCTCATCTAGAAACATTTCTTTTTCCTTTAACCTTTTATATTAAAATATATTTCCACATCTTGAATCTTTTTCTATCTCTTTTTTAACCGTTAACCCTTTTTATAAATTCACATTTTGAAACAACTCATAAAATTTCTGATTTAGACAGATTACTCCACTTTAATAAGATGAAAGACTTTCATGTTTTTTATACTACAATACTATAATTGAAACCCAACTGAAAATTTTTTTACTTTGTATATAAATTACACATGATAGAATCTTAACACTTAGTAACCTTGTTTTAGCAAAGACACAGACACAAAGCAATATTAAACCTTTTTCCATTTACCAATTTATGAAAACACACATAATGTTTAAATATATTACCTTATGGAACTTAATAAGTAAAGAGTACTTGATTTCATATTTAGTGGCTGATATTTTAACACTTTAGCTTTGTAAATTAATCAGATGTCTGTAAAAACCAAGATCTTAGACAAGTGTAGTAAACAGAACTAGCCATCTCTTTCTTGTTGAAGAAAAATCCTTCTACAGGATACCATGATGGTCCCATTGATATACTTAATAACTTGTCTTTAAAAAGCCATGGGCTACATTTTTGTATTGTATCAACATATGCCCTAATTGTTCTTGGTCTTACTGGGGTGCCTTCTTCCTCTAACAATTTCTCTTGCTCGGAGGCGAACAACTTCAAACCTTGAGTCAACCATTTTCCCCAGTTTGCCTGAGAAAGTTCTAGGAACAGGCAACTTGAAATAAAAACAAAATAAATCAAAACAGGAACACATTGTTTTTTGAATTGATCACCCATTCTCTCGCCTTCCCTCAGGGGTGAGCAATTTCACTTACCTCCAAGCTTTAGAAGTTCCCCGTACGGGCCACCAAATGCCGCAGTCTGGCTGGGCACAAATGCCGCAGTCTGGCTGGGCACACGATCACGAGCCACCACACAGCTTGTAGATTCAAACAGCAACTCTTTATTCCCGAACTCACACCAGCCATCTACAATCACGTTCTGGGGAAATCCACGTTCTCTTCCCAAATCCACCTTCTCTCCCAAATTCACCTCCACTGGGCTTCTATCTCCAAAATATACTGTCTGAATCCCGTGAGAACTCAAGGGGAACTCAGGCAGCAGGATACGCCCTATTCCCAGCAGGAATAATCTTAAACCTTAAACCTGGAACCTAAACTGGGAACGCCCTAAACAAGATTATCTTAAAACCGGGAACACCCTAATCTGCCTTGGTCCTTGAGCAAGGTCAAGTACATTCAATGTCACTGCAACATGGGGTACGCTGGCAAGGAAATTGTCATACTTACTTGGCTAATGGCTCCCAGCAAATTTTGATAAGTGTGACATGCAAGAATTTGGGAAAGATGGGTAAAGATTATGTGGGAACTCTTCGTACTATTTTGGCAACATTCAGTAAGTTCCAAAATTATTGCAAAATGAAAATATTATTTTTTCCCCAAATCTGAATTCCCCACTGTTCTAAGGATATAGACAGGGAAAAAAATTTTTTTTCAGTGCTGGGTATAAAACCCAGTGCCTTGTGCATGCCAGTGAGCTGCACCAGCTGCAGACCAAAATATTAAGCATGGACTCCAACATTTCTAGATTCTGACAAAGGCAGCCCTAGTTCATCACTGTAGTATTCCACCTCTCCCCATCTGTGCAGTAGTTACTGCTTCAGTTCATAGAATTAATCTCTTCTCCAAAGAGCATTTGTGATAATTATGTCATTCACATGTGTTTTTCCATAAGCTACACTCCAGGGTTTTGGAGACCAGGTCTCATTGTATGCCACACACATTGCACAGTGCTCAGCATGCAGTAAGCACTCAATGAACACTTGTTGAATGAATGAGCGATTTAATGGGGGTGCAGTGTGCCACAAATGTCCATCGTTTTTATAGCTCAAACAGAAGTTTTAAGCTATAGAAAGGACACTTCCTATTCACTGAGTCTCAGGTACACCTTTAAAATTTTTTTTTTCATATGCCCAACTCATATTGGGACCTGCCTGTGGTCTTCTTGGTAGTTAGGTTTGGTAGAGCAAATGTACCAACAGCATTGTCTCTATCCAGGACCTGGGATTGTGTAAAGTAAGCTCCTCACGGGAGGTGGAGGACCTCCTTGCCCCAACTCTGCAGGACCACACTTTAGTGTCTTCAGAGGTAGAAGAGAACAGTTTAAGACATCTTAAGGAGGAAAAGAAAGAGAAGTTCTTGGAGAAGTCTGAACTCCAATTTCACAACCAAGTCTGATATCGCTCACAATGAAAAATAAACAATAAACAAACCAAACAAAAAAACTTAAAACCTTTCTTAACCCCATTTTCTTGAGAGCATGGTTGTTCAATAGATCTTTCTGCAAAGATAAGAACATGCTGAATCTGCTCTGCCCAGGTAAGTAGCCACTAGTTACCGGTAGCTATCAAGCCTTTGAAATGTGGCCAGTGTGATGAAGGAACTGAATTTTTAACTTTGCTTCATTTTGGTTCATTTAAGTTGTGGCTGGTGGTTGTGGTGCTGGACAATCCTGCTCTAGAGCTCTGGCCATCTCTCTGTTCCTCTTCTGAAAATGTTCCTTGAAATAGTCACAACTTCTCCTTTCTCACCTCAACCTTATTTTTCCTCCTTCTTTGAAACATGCATCTATTCCCTCCATTCCCCCAGACTACGCTTTCAAAATCATCCGTGATGCCTATGCTAACAGATCCAATCGTCCTCTTTGCCCTCAGCAGTGTTTGACACAGTGGACAACTCCCCATTTTTGAGATGCTGACTCCTCTTGGCTCCTGGGTATTTGTGTGCTCCTTGTTCGTCTCATTTGCCAGCTTCTCCTCTTGGGCCCTGGGACTCCCTCCTGTGCCCCCTTCTCCCACTTGTCCCTCAAAGCACAATAAAGTTGTCCCAGCTTTGGGATTCCGCCTTGACTATTCCTTCTACTGAAATTCCCTTCCCATCATCTTTACCTAGTTAGCTCCTTCTCATCCTTCAAGTCTCAGACCTTCAGAGAGACCTTTCTGCATGCTCAATCTAAGGGAAATTCCACTCTTTTTCTTCACAGCATAAACCTTGAATTCTCTGCATGCACTCACCACTATCTAATCTCTTCTTGTTTATTGGTTTGCTTGTTTTATTTACTTTCTCTTTCCCTCAATCAAACTGCAAACTTCATGAGCGTAAGGACTTTGTCCATCTTGTGGAAGAGTTCTTGCACATAGCAAGCACTCAGCAAATATTTGCTTAATAAATATATGAAAGGACTCTTATGAAATACAGGAGAGAGATATTTTGAAAGCTAAGGGGGAAAAGGCTTTGCAGAAGAGGACAGAGGGACATGATCAACTGTTTCAAATACTGAAGGCACATCAAATATGATGACTTAAATATATCCATGGAATTTGGGAATTAAGGGGTCACTAGTAATCTCAGTAAAAGCAATCTCAGTGGAGGATTAAATGTGGAAACCTAACTTTAGCAGACTGTGGAGTCGATAGTAGCGGAGACAGTGAGTATAACTTTAAACTTAGCTAGAAAGGGACCAAACAAGTAAAGGATATTGACAAAAGATAACTAAGGGCCCAGGAGGGGTTTTTATCATTTGCTTTAGGATGGAATAAGATTTGAGCATGATCATATGCTAGGAGCCAAGTGAACAAAAATGAATTCTTGGGAAAAGGGTCATCACCTTCTCCTTGAGGCCAGGAGAGAAGAGGAAACATGTGGTAGGGGTTGGGGACAACCTTTTGGGTGGAGGGTGCTTCCTCTTAATGGATCACATTTTTCTCTTAATTTGGAGACTGAGAGCAAGGGAGGTAGGGTCAGGGTATGGAGCTTGATAAGATAAAAGGTTTAGAATAGTCATGGTGGTTAGAGATAAGAAATAGTTAATTTGGAACGATGACCGCCCCCCCACCCAGCAAAAAATGGATGTTGATACTGAAGTCCCAAATGAGATCAGAGGCCACCTGTATGTTTTTCAGGATTTAGAAGATACAAGCAAAGGAAGGTCAGGTGCATTCATGTCTAAGGGAGTCCTTGTTATCTCCATCTCTGGTACTTTGACTGAGGCCCCCTCACTCAACATTTATAGCTACCAAATCATAACATCCCCAGAAGAAAAAAATTGTTCCCAGAAATTCCCTCATTTTCTATATAACTAATAGAAATCCACAGCTCTTTCAGCCCTCCTTGCTCATTTCCAGAACCTTCCAGCATCCTGACAGTACCTGAAGGAGATGTCAGTACTTGAAGGATACTCAAAGACAAGTTTTAGATGTACCCTCAAAGCACTGAGGAGTGTCCTATGCTGATGAGGTAGAAAAGCCATGCTGTGGAAAGGGTCTGGGGTCAGGAAGTGCTATCCCTGCCTCCAGTGTCACCCCAGGCCCTTGCCATGGGGTGGGAGGCTGTGGACATACGTTTCAACTGGGGCAGGAGGTGGAAGGAGTACCGAGAGAAATGCTGAGGATGTGACGAAGTTGCTAGTAGACATGGCGGGGTGTGGAGGAAGGAGCTGCTTGGAGTGCGGGGCGTGGAGGGCCTCCCGCTGGGCTAGCTCCTTTCTAGGTGAAATCAGTGCCAAATGACTCTGAGCCTGCGCAGGAGAACACAGGCTGGGAGTTGGGGATGTGGGGCGGGGCGGTGGGGAGAAGAGAGTATTAACTCAGTTCAAAAACCCTTTGCCCTTACCGGAATAGGCAATACCATTAAGGCTTGGAGCAATCCAACGAAGCTTGTTTTGTACCAGCTGCTGTAGTCAAGACAAACTTGAAGGTTTGGATGTTGGTCTAGCGCTGCTTATGTCCAGTCCCGAGAGAGAGAGAGGGAGAGGAGAGGGAGAGAACTCCTTCCCAGCGCTGGGAGACCCCCACCCCAATACCTTCTTTAGGAACTCTCCCCCCCCCCTTTTTTTTCCCTCCTGATTTAGTATCTCCTCCACACAGGCCTTTCAAACACTATCCTTGGGAGAGGTGTGGCTAGAATCAGTGTTTGACAAACATTTAAAGAACAGGGTGTGTTGTACTCTGACTTTGAGTAGAATGAACAGAGCTCCTGAGCAAATGGGGGAGACACAGATATGTCCTTGGAAAGTAACCTGACCCGGAGATGGGAGCCCACATGGGAAAAGTGCCCCGGGAAGCTGAGGAGGGCGAATGAGAACAATCCAGGGTGCTTAGTCCAGGGTGCTTAGTCGCTGGAGGGATGAGGGATGGAGTGTTGATGGGGCTGAGCAAAGGAAGGTCAACTCCCTTTTGAAAAATAAAGAGATCAACTTGAGTAGCAAGGGAAAAGATTTCTTTAATTGGCTTCATTCTAGAAGAGAAGAAGCAAGAGATGTAAAAACCCCTCATGCCTTAGACAGGAAGCCCTGAGCAAACGCATCCTATGGGTCTGTCCTTAGAGGTGGACCCCCTTTCTTCTTTCTGCACCAGTGCATTCAGAGGGCACAAACTGAAACTGGAGACTCTTTGAGGCCTCCCACCTCTGGAAGGGTCTGGGCAGGAAGGAACAACAAGCTAATGTTTAACTCAGGAGACAAAAGGCCCTTTGACAGGACCCTGACCTTGGCACACTCTTCCTGTCTCGCATATGAGCTTGGATTCCATTCAGGGAAAGCAAGGGCAGGTAGCTGTGGTGAGGAAGGGACCCCTTATCCTGTTGAAAGAATGTGGTTGGAGAATGAGGGTGTTATTTAGATTTTCACCTCTTATCAGGCTTTCTGTTAATGCCCTCAGATAAAGTCCTTTCACACCCAGCAGTTTTGTACATGACTCTGAAAGAGGTGGGGCTGGGGCCAGGTGAGCTAGTGAAGAGAAAATAAGGACTTGCATGGACACTGGAGATCCGAACACATATGTAGGATCAAGAGCTTGCCTCAATTAGAGTTCCTGAGCCCATGATCTAGATAATTCTAGAATAGCAATTTTACAAGATTCCCAATTTTCTCTGAATAATCAGTTCCATGGTGGGCTTTAGTTCTTAAGCTAAAAGGTAGGAGAGAGGCTGAGCAGCTCACAGGAAAATGGTAGTGCTGGGAAAGATCAACTGGCTTGCTTGAGAGGTGGGGCACAGTATGCTGAGAATGAGGGGAGGAGACCTCCATGCAGGGTCTGGGGAGAGCTGGCAAGGGGCACAGCAATGAGGGGGCCAGCCCCAGTGTGGAGCCTGCAGGGTACACCTCACACTATTCAACAATCACCTTCCCTGAGGGCTCTGGAACCCTTCTGAAAGCTTCAGAGCAAGCTTCCCTTCCTTTTCGCTCCTGTTGTATGCACCTGCCCACCTAGGATATTCTTGGGTTAGCCAGAACCCTGTCTCCAGGAGAGATCCACCTCCTCATAGGGAAGTCAGCAGGGCCAATTCTGGGCCCTTAACAGCAATGCTGCACCCAGAGTGTCATTAGAGCCCATGTGGAAGAAAATCCTCCAGAGCACAGTTAGCATACACCTATATTCCCTTCCAACTCAGTGAAGGAGAGATGTGCCACAGGACTTCAGCAGGAAATGGTCAGCCAAAAGTCACTTTGATTTAGGAACAGGTGTTCAAAAATGGTCTTTGGAAGGGGGAGAGAGTATGCTTGCCAATTAGCAGTCATTTGGGTGCCTTGGAGTTTACCAACAGGGGTGGAGAGGAAGCCTTAGAGCTAAAGTTGTGTACGTCCGAGCAAGAACCGCTGGAAACAAAAGCATGCAAGGGCTGGAGTGGGAAATTCAAAGTGGAGTCATATAGGAACACATGGACTCGCCCCTTTCTTGGCTCTTTGGTGTTGGGACTTGCATGGCTCCCCTCCACTCTGGATGCAAAGAATCAAGGACTCTGGCCCTTGGGAATGAAGGAAGAAGAGGGTCAATGAGACCTGATACCTGGGGCAGGGAGAAGAAAATGAAGCATCAGCTGAGGAGGAGGAAGGGTTCCTTTTAGCCCTCTCCCTGACTGAAGAGGGAAGGGAGTAGGAGAGTGAGTGAACAGAGGGGTGAAGGGAATAAACAGGGGCTCCACAAGGCTGGGCCAGAAGAGGGTTCTACTCTGGCTCAACCATGCTTTCAGCAGGATTTGAGGCTGGCAGGTAACTTCGTGTCCCCTATCCCGTAGGGCTGAATGTGAAGAAGGGACATGGCAGGTGCTCCCAAGAGACTGCAGCCTGATGAGGAGACAAGATACAGGGGAGTGGGCAGATTGGGTTGGTGCCATGTGCCAGGGTTCTTGCCCATCTCAGAAAGAAGATGACAGCCTTGTGTTGCTGAGGAGAGGAAAGGCTTCGCAGAAGGCCAAGAGACCACTTGGCTTTTAAAGTTGTGCCCAGTTCCAGTCCTCTGGGCTACTGTCAGCCATTGGACCAGAGGGACAGTGGTAAACACAGGAGGCATAGGGAAAGAAAGACCCCAGGCCAGCAAGGTGAGCAATCCCAGATCCTCACTTGACTCCTCTACTGGTCTGCTGGGGTGCCACCATCCCCCCATGCCTGCCTCCACCTATCCTGCCCCCCATGGGGATCAGAGCAGGTATAAAGTACCTGTTTCTTCCTGGGTTTAGCTGAGCCAAGGCTGGAATTATTTCTAGAGAGTTTTTGTAGAAAATTATAAGAATGCAAAATCAAAGACAGGAGTCATGAAACAGAAAGTCTTTGAAGCTCAAATTCCTTATCCAAGTCCAGCCAGAGATTGGCTTGGCTGGCAGGAGTCCCAGTTAGTACTTCTGCAGCTTTGTCATAGAAAACCAGGAAACTGCGTTCATTATTCTTTGATTCTCCTTTCCTCCAGCTTCCAGCATGGTGCTAGACACCTTATAGCTTAGTAAGTGCATGTTGGATGATCATGTACCTGTGCATATTCAATTCCTAGCATATGAGAGGGAGTAGTGATTTTACTCATAAGCACTTGTCCAAACCCTGGTTATCCCAGGGATGGTCCAGATTTTTCACCATCTCCTTCCAATTCTCACCCTTAGGGAGCAGAGAACATCCCAAACAAATTGAGCGAAACACAGCTGAGCTGAGTGATGGGAAAGAGTCAAGGGTGTTTAGAATGCTCGTGTGTGTGTATGTGTGTGTGTGTGTGTGTGTGTGTGTGTGTGTGTCTACCCGCGCGCATGCTGGGGATTGAACCCAG